TTCAGAATAACTAGCGCGCCACCTGTCGACAAGAGAACCGAACAACTTTTAGGCAAGTTGTTGCAGAGGACATTTCGTTTATTGCAGGAAAAACTTGTGTACAATATTAAAATACACAAAAAGTGTATACCACGTAGAGCATTATCTCTCTCTCTTCACTTCAATTAAATATTAAATACATATATGTATACATATAATGCTCCGCGGATGTGAGAGATTTGAGAGAAAATATCCTCTCGGTACATTTTAAGGCACAATCTATGCTAAGGTTTTCTACAAAATAACAATAGTTATACTTGATGAACACAACGAGAGAGAGTATAGAAAAATATTGCTAAATTATTTATGTAAAATTAATATATAAATAATACCGTTCGTAAGTAGAATTACCACGCATAAATCTGCATCGAATCTTGGAAGAGTTTTCGAATACATATGTTCGATGCAGTCTTCCAAGATCCATCGAATAACTTGATCTTTCGAATATCGCGATAACCATTGTCATGGAATTCTATTCCATTTTCAACCTCTAGAGCTTTTCCATCCAACAGTCCACAACAGCTAGTGCTTCCTAATTATACAAACGATAACATAAGCGTCCTTGTAAACTTGTTGATTATCTGCTTGTTACTTAATACGTACAAACAAGAAAATTTTATTTCTTAATTGAAAATGCAATGCAGAATTAACATTGGAAGATAAGAGAATACATCATTCCAGTGAAAATGTACGGCAACAGACGTGCGACGTACAAAGAAAAGGACAAATCTTTATTTGCCTGTCCAACACTTTTACGTTTTTCATTATCTATTCAATATTATTATATTCTCTTGAATAGTGAGAAAACTCTTGTATATGCCTGCTTGTATAAGTATATACAAAGGCCTTGCACGGATATGTTAACTTTTCAAACTAGATTCACACACACACACATAGTGAATTCTAATCGCGCTCGATATCTCAATAATCCAACTATTTTATAAACACTATTTCATTTCTCTACAAATTTACTGAAATTATATTGTTAGATCTTACGTCTAGCAAAAATGGATAAAAATGTTAGATGGAGATCTATTTCTTACACGTGGAAAAGAGTGTCTATTTTTGTACACTGTACACATCTAATCTTTATAAATTGTATAATATTTCCATAATAATTATTGAACGATAACTATATACATTTTTAGTCTTAATCATTTTCTTGTTACAGTGTGTTATTATAAATGTTCTCTACTAAAATGGAGGGATTATAATCGATAATATTAGTATGGCTTGTAGAGCTATTTGTCATACGAGAGTTTTACATCACGAAACGTTGAATTTTCCGTTACAGTTGTTTTCACAACTTTCTTGTATAAATCACTCTAGTATATGAACATCTAATGAAAGTTACCTCTCTATATTTAGCCTCAACTAAACCAATTTTTTATATTTAACGCAATCATCTTTATACTTAATTATCGGAATATGAAGAGACGCTTTTAGGCTCATTCGCAAACGTACGCACTATTACTGCCCCCCCCCCCCCCACACACACACACACACACACGCACGCACACGCACACACACACACGCACGCGTATATACTCTCTCTTTTGCTTAAATAATTAGAATTTATTGCAACAGAAACCAAATATTGTCAACTCCTCAGAGAATTGCCTCGAAAAAAGTATTGTAGAAAAGTCATCTTTTCTTATATGTATAGATTTAAGCATGTGTGTTTACTATCTTTACTAGTTAATTGCTTGGAAAATAATCAAAGTTGAATTTAAAAAATATTAAAGATGATTAACCTGATATAATCCCATACAGCACCGAAGTTTTCATAAACATTTCAGAAACATTGCAACATTGCAACAATGTTTTCTCAAATGTTTCTGAAAGCTTTGGTGCTGTATGGGACCTGATATCTCACACATATCCGTTTAATCCGTTTTTATAAATTTATATAAAATAGTAACTGTTATTAATAGCAATCTATAATTATTATCATTTGCAGTTATGTAACTACAATATATAGCCCTTTAATAAATGTCAAAAGAAGCATAAAAGAATTTCAAATTAATTATAAATGATTCGTCTGTATAGAAAATTTGTAGCTTAAATAGCTAAAAAGTGATTACGAATGTTGATTTCATATTCTATCACAGGAAATTGATCAAATATTCATTCAACGTCTAATCAATTACAATAGCATCGTACAATATATGAACGATATATAAAAACAAAACATTATTAAAATAACATTCAGCAACAAACGCGCGCGCATGCGTAGAATTTGGGATTGCAACATCTTTTTACTATATTTGTTACATATCTCTTTCTATTAAAATTTTAACAGATCTACATTTTCCTGCACGTTCAACATTTTCGTATTTATGTAAGTCTACATTAAAATAACTAATAAAAGAGTTGATAATGGGAGGTACATATTCTTGAATAAATGTAATTTCAGACTGTTTTATAATAAAAGAAAAGAGTTTACAATGGTAAATGCGGTAGAGAGAATTAACTTGCGTTTAAGCTTGCAAAGAATTAATTTCATAAATTTAGCGCGCCTGCGCGATATCAAATGTTGTTTACATCTTTCCCTCTGTAGGGCTCGATCGACTTTCTACGAGTGCAAACATTTACAAAAAAAAAACCCAGTTTGATTAAACATTCCAAGACTTTTTTTATCAAATAGTAATCAATTCTATTTGTAATATTCTTATTTTATGCATTTTCAATTAATGCACAAAGAATTGGGCTCCAAATGGAATTCTATATGAATCAAAGATAACAGTGATTGTTTAGAGTAAAAAATGTTTCCATAGTCTACAACAATATTGTGTAATATTACACAGTTAACATTGAGTGTTTTTATATCGGTGAGAACTCGACTTTTCAAATGAATGAGATTACAAGTTGTGCAATGACACAACCAATGTCATGTTTATGCACATACATCTCCAATAATATTGAAATGAGATGAGAAAATAAATAAATAATAAATAGTAGAGATTTCTGCGATGACAAGACATGTCACGTTCTCTGCACAGCATGGTAACAAATCGAAAAATACGTTAAATTACATTCCATTACAATTCTCTCGTATCTATCTGGTGTTGAAGAGATAAATTAAAACGATTCGTCGTAAAAGGCAGGCAAATACGCAACAGAAAACACTGCCTCCAACAGCATAGTCATTAATTTGTATACACAATAGAAAGATTATATATACATACGTATATAATCATATGTACAATGTATATGTATATATGTATACATATATATACATATAAGAAAAGTAGCCAAGAGGATTGTACTTTTCCTTTGAAGAAGCAAACGATATAAATTATAGCCCCTCTCTCTCGTACCTCGTCATTTTGTTTTTCTCAATTTCTAAAAACGTGCAATTTACATTTGTACATGATAGGTAAAATTAATGATTGCCACGCTCACTCATCGAATTACAAGATATATCAGGGACATCTTCCTGTAATCGTCTTGTCAACGTACATTCACTCAACACTCTAGTGTTGTCGTAATTGCCCAATTTCCGCGACAATGTACCCGACAAATTAATACTATCTGCCGTTAATAGACTGGTGCTCTCTAGCCTTTTCTGACTTTCCATACTCTCGTTAGCGTTCTTCTCCAATTTATCAGATCTTAATGTATTGTTTAAACTATGATCGAATTTTCTGAGATCATTTTGGATGCTTCGTATAGTATCGCTATTGTTTTCGTATCCTCGCAACAAGTGGCTTTCGTTCTCATACCTACGATTAATGGAGTCAGAATCAAGACACTTTCTGAATGTATCGTCGTATCTTTGACTCTCGACAATTTTCCTAGAGAATCCCACGTCGTAATGTTCCGTATTCTCTATCGATCGTTGATTTATACCATCCAAATCGTACACTCGCTTTGTCAACTGATTATCGAATCCTGCTCTATTAGCTAAGTGGAGGTAGTTGTCATCACCGATGGGAGCCTGTCTAGAAGAAAGTATGGAGAAATTGGTAAATTGAACGTAAGGTAAATGGTATGTGTGTCTTAAATAGCGAGATGAACCATGTGACATACTTGCTGCCGTACTTGGTGTCGCGTGCCAGTCTTCGAAAATAGGCTCTATGTTCACGCTGCAAGGCATACGCAGCTTCTCTAAGTGTGTTTAAAGTCTTGAAACACGAAGGTACATCTTCGATAGGCGAACCACCATCCGGAATAACACACATATCGCTAGCACCATAAACTGCCTGGCATTCACATGCATTCATCAATGTCTCGAGACGTGGCATATTTGTGAAGATCAACGAGTGTATTCTCTGCAAATCGCGATCTGGATCCAACACCATTTGCAGTCCAGCCTCTATACCTGGCGATACTTGACTGCATCCTGGTGCAACTTCAGCCACTGCGCGACAGCTACACGTGTCGCAGAAACAGAGAGGAAAGTTGGAATAGAAACGTTTCGCGATCGTGTCACATATCTGTTTACTCATCGCATTACTCACCAAAGCCAATGGCCATTGATGTATGCACTTGGATGATATTTTTCTAAGCGGTTACTATTTGTTTGACATATTTTTGTAAGGATGTCAATCCATTCCTTTTCCTCTACACAATTACCAGCTTGAACGTATAATGCCCTTTGTGGTTGAATAATTTGAAACATGTTTTTCATCTTGAAGGAATCTTCGTGAAGTCTTTCCACTGCTAAGATTTCTTCTAGTGGTATCTTACACAAAGGTTCTTTACCTGTATAAATAGATGGAGATTATTTTCAATCAAATGTCTACCGTTTACTTGTATACTGTTGCTATTCACCTTTCGTTTTAGAATATGTCAAATCGTGCGTGGTAAGTCTGAAGTATCTCTGCTTGAAATTCTTACGGCCAAATCGTTTTCTGCCTTGTGCTCGTTTAATCATTACTCTATTAAGAGGAAAAAAACATGGCAATTAAAATTATATTAAACAGTACCGTTGTAGAAAGATTATATGTCAATAGGCAAATATACAAGTGTTGTATGACGATACCAACCTCTTGTTACAATCGGTAGTATGCATAAAGAGAAAGTATTTTCTATTAGAAATATACAAAGTTAAGAATTTACTTGTATGGTCTCAATACTATAAATTAACAAAATTTGATATGAGGAGCATTATATTTTTCTCTCCTTTCCTTTCTCTCTGTACATGTACACGTGCGTATGTAGACGATTTTGAATCAAAAGGAGACGTGCGTGCGTGAAGTAGAGAGAGAGAGAGAAAGAGCACTATATTAGATATAAACAAACGTACCCTTCTTTGAGTACCACTGGTTGTTCTTGCAATACCGTTGGACGTTGCTTCGCGATGCCGCTACTATTACTACTAGTCGATATTATCTCTAGAAATTGCTTGACTGCATGTATATGTCTTTCTGTATAAAATTCTCTACAACAGTAAGTTGTATCAATGATAGCAAATTATATCAATGACAGCAAGGAGAAGAGATTCGTTGGATTAAGAATCTCACCTGTATACACATTCCATGTATTCTTCTTTGCATACACTGCCTGCGCCTCCTCTACAAGATACCAAATTTCCAAGACTTTGAATTGTCTTGGATATTAACGTTAATGTCCTATTGGTCTGTGAATCCTACAATGGCATAAAAGCAGGAAAGGTGAATTCGACTGGTACGTAAGACATATCAGTTGTTTAGTTACTTACAATTTGTTCAGTAGTGATATCAAATAATCTTGGACCCAATATCGCAGGAGCAAAAAATCGTAAAAAGATAAATCCACTTATCACCGAATATCTCACTTCTTTATTTTTTGGAAAGTGAGTTGCAGCGAGTTCTCTCAAACACCAGAACATTTCACACATTAAAGGGGGACATCTTACTCCCGAGGTTGTTATAGCTACAAATACTCTCTCGACATATTCCTGTGAGAAAGGAAAGATATAGACGTTGGTCGACAAGAAGCATGTTGTAATTCAATACCTTTAAATTGGTCAAATTGGTCTCTGTTGTATTGCCATCTTTTACCCGAGTTGGATCTATCTCACATGGCTTCTTTTCGAGAAAAACTTGTTCCATCGCAGGTCTAAGAGTACTATGCAAATAATGCAGACCCGCTAATCTCATGCCTTCGTCCATCATCTTGCTCACTAATGTGTTACCGCGAAAGATGGTCGTTGGGTCACTTGAATGAAAAGGAAAAGGTAAAGAAATGCATTCTTCGAAAGGACTAATGTGACGATTAGTTGACTCACGTCAATTTGGAAATCTCGTGACTAGCAAGTGCTCGCATCACAGATACCAACTGTCCATGATGCACCAATACTCGAACTAATGGTTGCGCAGCCTCCATTTTACTGGCTACAATTTCACCCAATATGTAAACAGCCGAGGACGTAATCGGCTCAACATTGACGCTTTGTAACAAGAGACTTTTAAGTCTGTCATACATTTCCGAGGGGAAGACGTGATCGGCTACGTAGTGAATCTTCAAGCGTAAAGATCCCAAACCTGGTAACGTACCAGGCGGTGTAGAGTTACTTGAGATTTTACTTGGACGATGTTTCGCTGCTCTAGGTTGTAAAAAATACCTGTGCGAAAGACAATAATCAGTCAAGACTAGCGTGAGATTGATCCATTGTGGCAGGCAAGATTTCGCAATAAACAATTGGCAATAAAAATAAAATGAGTACCACGCGGTGGTTGTACTAGTCGGTTGTTTTTGTAATCCTTTCAAGGTGACTCGCACCTCGCCAAGAAAGACCGGTTGTTCTCCCATGCCAGGAGATGCATGCCACAAGCCAACCACTACTTCTCCAACTTCAGCTCCTTCAATAGGATAATGGGAGACATCTTTGTCTCTGGTCTCGATTAACTCTGGCTACAATGTAAGGAAATTTCATGTGTCGTACATACAAAGAGATAGATGAAAGGACTTTGGCATGGGTTTTACCTCAAATACAAATGTCTCGTTGAAATACGGAGATGACGTTTTCTTTTTCACCTTTGTGCGCTTTGATACTTTTTTACCATTACTATAGATGACTGTAACAATTGCAAAGGGATCACAGCTACCATTTTTAATGGTTAATTCACTACATTCTATTATTCTGCAAGACACAAAGGCACGTTAAATATATATATATATTTTTCTAGTTTTAGCGTAGCGTGTATCTGTACTGCTCACCTTACTGTAAGTTTAGGCTGAGCGTGTTCGACCTGAGGTTGCAAAGCAAGCTCCAAATGAGCCTTGCCTTGAACCTCAGAGTCGGCATCGACTGGTTTCAGAGGAAACCAATGTTCCTTATTATGATATGTAGCTAAATCTTCTCTCTTTATTGCTACCTTTCCCAAAATTCGATCCTGCTTCAAATGTCTATCTCTGTCATATACGTAAATGCCAAGGTAACGAAATTTTCTGGGCACTTCAAACTGAAACTCCTCTCCGAAGAACGGACTGTACGGAGATTTATAATAGATGAATGAATGGCACACGGTAAGGAAATCTCGACAGACTTACTTGAGAGTTCTTTCCATGGTTGTTGTTCTGAATATTTCCTCTTGATCCAGCGACAAGGTGCAGTAAACGTCTCGTGTGCCTGGAGAGCCATGACTTCGACTTTGAAGGTTCTTTGCTTCTCCTGTACAAAGTATCTTATTATTGACATTTTGAGAAAGTTGAATCCGTGTCGAGGAAATTTCGCAAGAAAGAGGCAGAATTGAACGGAAAAGAGATTTGACTCGCGCACAATTTCCTCGGTCCTCGATATACAGACACAGATGACACAGATCAACACAGATCGCGCAGATCGGCAGTTACGCACACATGCATATTGCATATGCGCGCGCGTAGGAGGACAACGACGCGTGGGAGTTGGGAGTTGCGAGTACTGGGACTCGAGAATGTACGCCAGCGAATTTCGCGTGAAAATCGGACGATTTGGACGTAACCGACGTTTGTCGCTCGGAGAAACGACACACAAAGTGGACACACGGCCGTGGGAGTCGAATCGGGTGACATCCCGCGAGCAAAGGCGCGCGCGCGAGCGCGAGAGAGAGAGAGAGAGAGAGAAACGGCTCGTGATCGCGATCGCAATCGCGATCGCGACCGCGACCGCGATCGCAGCCGGAAAGTAATGACGTCCGTAAATGACTCGCGACACTTATCTTCCTACCGATTTTGATCCTGAGCCTCTCCTCAACGCGGACTAGGCGCGTCTCCTCGGCCATGTTACCTCCATGACACTACTGAGTGACTACACGAACGAAACGCAAGCGGTTCGTTCATTCTGTGAATGGATCTACGCCCAGGGCCGTAACACCCCACTGCTTCTCTCCCGCTTCTATGACGCGATGCCATTATGGCCATTGCGTCCTTGTTACTCTTGCCAACTCGATTCTCAGTTTAGCTTTCTTACCAATTATCATCCTTTTCCTCGCTGAGAGACTGTATTGGCATTTTCTCACGGACGATCAACGGATAGATTGCGTGGCACGATAATCGCTCGCTACGAGATTGGCGTGTACCGGGTAACCAATACACAAAGGCGCGCTTTCCTCGCCATCCTCGCCATTCGCGACGCACACACACATATAAAGATTAAACTCGGCTCTTCTCTCTTGAGCGCGCGAGCGCGTGGTATATCCCTTGCTTATCTTTGGTGTACGTCAAGTCTGCTTGCTTGTGTAAGTGGTGAGCCACTTCCTGATGGCGCAATGGCCCGCTTCCTCTCTCTTTCTCTCTTCGCTCTGGAGTCTCCATTACCTCCGTCATCGTCATTTCTTGGAATAATTTGAAAAGACATGTACATAATAATTTTCGGGGTGATTTACGAGCGTAGAGAGCAATCTTGTCGACTTTCACGCAACATTTTCCCACGTGGGTGCATCTCGCGTTTCTCTTTTCTCTACATCTTATTGTCACACATTTCCACGCGACACGCTCTGTGTATTTTTGCGGAATCGCCGGAAATGGACTTGTTGGCGAAATTACATTATCAACGATAACGCAATTACTACTAATTACACAAATGTGAAACATCGTACCGTTGGGCGACGGAATAAAAATATATTGAATGGTGCTAGACTCCCACCTCCCACTCCCACTCCAGAGGAGGAAAAATATCTAACAATAAATGAGGCGGAGCATTGTCAGCGGTGAGTCAAAGACCACAAGTCTCTCCTCGACTCCTCGACTCCTCGACTCCTCGACTCCTCGATCGAGCGAGCGCGTGAATGGAAGCGGTTACGAGGAAAAAATATGAATGAAGCCGTGGTAGTGACAGTCGCGCGTACGGTTTACGCTTAGCGCGCATGCGTCGAGTCCCCGAGCCGTAATATAGCACGTGCATCGTTCCGTGTCATTCAGCGTCGGGGACTGTCGGCGACTGTCGGCGATCGGCCAAGGTGAGAATTGCCTTCTTTGTCCCGATCCTCTCGTTATCACGGCAGAGAATATAATCCGTGATACAGAGCATTGTAATACCGTTTCCTAGCATTCTCACGATTCTAATTGATCGCTTTTCGCGGAAAAGCAAGTCCCAAGGCGTACGTGCGATAACGAGAGAAAAATTGCGGAATAGCGAGAGAAACTCTGCGAGTCCCCACGAGGACGCGGTGGGGACAAAGCGACGATTGTACCGCGTGAATATCCCACAATCAGAATCGCGCACAAGTAGGACGCGAGCCATTGTTCCTCGTGGCTGCAATTTATTCCATGATTTTGTCTTTTGACGAGGGAAGCAACTGCAAATGATCCGAGAAGCGATGCGTAAAAGGCTTTTTCCCACCTGTTGCATCGGGTGCAAAAGCACTTGTGCTTTTTTTTTCACCATCGGTTGCAAATGTACCGACATCTGTAGAGAGTACGCTCGTAACATTATCCTCAGCTGATATATTGCCTCTCTAGTTGTAGATGTCGCCAGGTACGAATTGGAAACCATCGCGAAAAAGCACCTTGCGGCAATCGAATATGCTCACGTTAATTTACCTGATGCTTTTCGCAATTGTTGCCGCTTGCCTGTGCCAAGAGCAATTCTGCTCGGTAGATGCGACCAACGACGCAAGATCCTGTAAAGAGAGTGAAAATGTTGACCACCGCAAGTCATTGTACACGAAAGGTGGAGGTGAGTTGTTACATCCTAATTCATTTGAATAATATCAAACGACTCTGTTACTACTATTACTTAGGAACGAGTGAAAGATACGAGAAATATCTAGCGGCGATTCGTAACGCCGAACTAAACTACGAGGAGTGCAACAACACGAAGCACCAGTGTTTTCGAGATGTCATCTCGCGAGACTTAAGACCTTTCCGAAAGAAGGGCATCAGTGAAGAGATGATTGAAGCTGCTAGAACTAGGTATTTATATTATAGTATACGAGTAAACTCTCTCTCTATATATATATATAGACGAATGTGCCACTAAACCTTGTCAATTTCATCGTGCAATAGGGGCACCTTTTATCAAATAATCAAAGGTAAATTATACAGAGAGAAAGACTGCATGTTTCCAGCTAGATGTGCCGGAATTGAACATTTCTTGTTAAAGATAATTGCCAATTTGTCAGACATGGATTTAGTTATAAACACCAGAGATTATCCACAATCCAGCGAATATTTTGGAAATGCAATGCCCATCTTTTCATTTAGCAAGGTGAGGGATAATCTACCTTGGTTAATACGCTTGTTAAATTTAATAAGAGCTGTGCACCTTGCAAAATATATTTATAGACACCACAATATTATGATATTATGTATCCAGCATGGGCATTTTGGGAAGGTGGTCCAGCTATATCGTTGTATCCGCGTGGTCTTGGCAGATGGGACCGACATCGTAATTCATTGAATAAGGCAAGCCTCGAGATCCCATGGGAAAAGAAAGAGAGCAGAGGATTCTTTCGTGGCTCTAGAACGAGCTCGGAGCGCGACGACTTGATCTTATTGAGTCGTAATAAGCCGCATCTAGTAGATGCTCGATATACCAAGAATCAAGCCTGGAAATCTAACGAGGTAACAAGATATCCCCTCAGATTCTAGAGACAAGACGAATGCGTGTGTGACAAAAGTTAATATTTCAGGATACTTTGCACGCAACACCAGCTTCGGAAGTATCTTTAGAGTCGCATTGCGCCTATAAATATTTGTTCAATTTCCGGGGCGTCGCAGCTTCCTTTCGACATAAACACCTATTTCTCTGTCGATCGTTGGTTTTTCACGTCGGCGACGAATGGCTGGAATTCTATTATTATGCCATGAAACCATGGCTTCATTACATACCTGTTCCTAAAAATGCACATCGACAAGAGTTGGAGTAAGATACTTTGACATCTAATCTTGCTACGTTGCTATTGCCTTTCTCATTCCTATTTCCTTCCGTTACATTTTCCAGGGATTTGATTGAATTTGCACAGAACAATGACCATCTGTCGAAAAAGATTGCTTATCGCGGAAGAGACTTTATATGGAATAATTTGCGAATGGCGGATGTGACGTATTTTTGGCAACAACTTCTTACAAGATATGGTAAACTTTTAGTATACAAACCAGTATTAAAGCAAGATCTCGTAAACATTAAAGAGAAATGATAGGTACGTGTGCGGAATTGCGGAATGTATTGGTGAAATAACAATATTGAAACACGATTAAAATAAACATGTGTATTTATTAATATTTGTATGACGATGAAAAATATAATACAATAGAGATTTTCTTCAAGGCACGACACAATAGCGTGGCAAGTTTCAATTATCGATACCCTAATGTCAGTAGTAAGACGAAGAAAGGCGTTGCACAATTGTAAATTTCATGACCACGTTCTTGACAGTAACCAACCATTTAACCAGCTTAAAAGAAAATGGAGCAATAAGACAGCGATTTCTTTTATTCGACCATTACTGAGGAAAGATACACAAAGCCTTTCTTCTCTACTCTCTGATAATACTTAAAGGCTAATATATAATTTTTAACAATTAAGTACTGACGAAACATTCGCGGTATTAGAGGCATTAAAATATTTGATACCGAATTGAACAAAGTATCTTTCTTTCTTTGCCAAAAGGATTTAAGTGCACCATTATTTTGTCAAATCTACAAAAAGGCACTTTATTCGTAACAACTGTATAGAACTTGACAAGTTCTCACACGTACAGCACCGTTAATGCCAGAGATCAGTCTGACTGAATTTGCATATAGTTCCTTCTATATACATGTGTCAGTGCCTTCCAAAGAAAGTAAACACTGTTTAGTAGAAAAGTTACACTGAGAAATACTCGAATTTTGCGACTTGACTTGCAGTAGATCTCTGAGGCACTGATATACACAGAGATAGGTATAAGACTACAAGAGAAACCGCAAAGGAAATGTTTATATAAAACAAGAACTCGATTGAAGCACACTCAACGTCGCATAATGCAAGTGAAACGATTTCAAGCGACGTGGAGAGACAGACCTGGCATTTGCAATTCATTTTCGAGAGTTGTATAAATTACAAAAATACTTTCTAAGGCACTTGCACTTATTGTTAGATAACAGTCACTTTAATCGCAACGCAGCAACGATGACACTATTACTAGGTATCTATATACATACATATGTATAAATGGTTCGCGCATGCAAATGAGATTAGATATTGAATAAAAGTAATATGTAGGCTTGGTGTTACGTGGAATATTTTAGCATTTACATTACATAAGTAGGAAAATGTATATAATATTCACATAGTACTTGAATTTTTTACAGTATTGTCAGTAAAGAGTTGGATTATTGCTTTATCAATTGTCATGTCGCGCAATGTCGTACTGTCACCGAGTTTGTACACCGAGCGAGGTCTAGTCGAGTAAGTGCCTTCAAAGTCTTTGGAAGTGATGGACACGCGAATAAATAGGCAGTGTGAGACGTTACTGCGCGTGTGTATCTTTCTTCTTTTCTTTGCGCTTGCATTTATATAATGTAAAAAAAGGGGTGCAAATTGAAATACGTGCTACAGCCGCTCGTGCAAGCACGGGGCGAAAATATCGTTGGTCGAAAATTGTCTAGCTATCTATTTAATTATTGGGAACGCGCACGGTCAACTCGCGCCACGTGCATACACAGTCTCGAGAAGGATCGATCGCGCCTCGCGCGAGATGTCGAAAGTCGACGCTGCCTTTACGTAGCCACGACAAACCTCGCGATGATCCCCGTCGCGATGCTGAACAGAAGCTGCCACGTCCTTTCCGATGGATGCAGCCAACTCGCGGATGCCCCATTGTTTCCGTGTTCGTGGTTCGACGATGTGACGAGCTCGTCGGTTCCTCCTGTCGAATTCAAATTCGAATCGTAGTGGCGCGAAATTTGGCGCGACGCGCGACCATATCGGAGAGAGCGCGTAACAGTTGGCTCTCTCTCGCTCGCTGCCGTTGCCGGTTGACGTTGCTGCTGTTTGGAACTTTATTTGGTTTATCCAAATAATCGGGGTAAATAATCGGGATATTTGGCACGTGTACCGCTCGTGGGCCGCTCTCACTTTTTCCCGAATTCGGGATGTACATTGTTGTCGTCTGGAAAAGGTGATTGCTCCCGGTTAATGCGGGTGGTGGACCGCACTCGTCAGGTGACTCGCCTTCTCACGTTTTCTTTCGTAAGCAGGCATCGACATTGTTGCTCTGTACTTGCTGCTAGCCGCGTCAAACATTTTTACGGCAAGCACCAAATACGTATGAGTGACCATTCCCAGTTATATTGCAAAATTATACGAGAAAGAATACAGAGAGAAATAGGAAACGTTTTCTCATAAAACCCCGGATAGTAAACGGAGTAAAAGAGGGAAAGATGGTGTCACACACACACACACACACATTACCTTCCCAAAATCTCTTGTGCATACGTGCGTGTAAAAAGACTGTTTACGGGTAAAAATACGATATGTGTTTTATTAGACGAAAATGAATGTGGTAAGGATTTCTCGTATTGTTAGAGAAGGAGCAAGTCGAAAAGACGCTAGATTAGTCTAGATTAAGTTCCAAACAACGCAGCTGCCAACAGTGCCAACGGCAGCGATTCATGCACCTCCCTGTTTCACTTCCCCGCTCGTGTGCAAGTGCATATTCGTGTGTTACCCACTATAGAGATTAATTCTCCACGTGTGCCGTTCAAGTTGTGATCGTGAGGATGCGAGAGAAAGAGTCATGCTTTACACAGGTGATATTTTTTACTGCTACTAATAATAATACTCTGACAAGGACGTGAAAGGAAGGAAAGAGGCATGAAAGCCGTCTCCGTGTAAGCGAGACAAGAACGAAAAAAAAAGAAAGAGAGAAAACGTAAAAGAAGACTCTTATTTCTAGAATATATATTTACTCGTGTCTTGTCAAACTGGATGCGGCGACGATGATATACGGCGACCATTAACTTTTCGACTCGTCTCGATGTGTTCTCAGAAATGAAATCTCATCATTCGTCGCCTGGCTAATAAATACTCTGGGCTTTAACATTACTTGGATTTTTCCACGTTTCAGTTAGGTAATTTCCTAACTTCCGCGACAATATGTAGAGCTTGAATTATATGTTACGTTTGGTATGGTATTCGTTATGCAGCGAACATATGTGTTGCGTCACATCCGATTTTAGCGATCTGTGACTCGATAATACGCACGAGATACAAAAGAGTGACAGCAGTTAGTCTCTCCCTGTGTCGTTATCCTCGAGTATTGCATGCACGTGTCTTGTCGCGCGACGTAGCCCTATAGTATCGTAGTAGCCAGGTATATACGAGGTACACCAAAGTTTTTAATATCGTGCTTCCTGCCTGCCTCCGTACCAAGGGGATTATTTTCAGCGAATTGAACGATACAGATTACTATCTACTGCTGCGCGATTCTCCGGAGCATTCATTTCAACGTTTAAACGAAGCGCAATTCATGCAGATTCGCGGAAACTTGATCATCTCGTTCTTCTCGGAAGCAGAACATTCTTATTACGTACGATTAACCAATTGTCGCGAATTCGAGGCTAGGCAGGATTCGATAAAGATTTTGTACCTGCGTCTAGAATGATGTCGCCAACGTTGTCAAGACTACCGTAATCGTCGTGTGTATCAGTATCAGCCACGTCCAGATTACTGCCAAATTCGATTCGCCAGTGATCATTACCTAGTGTTCCTCTATTAGCGGACTTGCACCCGAACCACCAGTACGCTGTCGATCGTGGGAAGGCAGGATTGGCTTCGTCCACCTGATCAATCCAAGAAATCATTGTTTCGTGACTTTCGTATAGAATCTTCATTTCAGAGAGAGAGAGAGAGAGAGAGAGAATGCTTGCCTTGAACATTCGGTCGTTGAATCGATAGTAAGCGTTATCTTGGAAGAAGTACGTGTAGCCCTTGTAGGTAACTGCCGCGTTGATGTGATTCGGTATGCCTTCCCAATTTTGCACGAGCTTGGGATAATTACTTCTCACCGGTGGCTTCGACGCTGGATCGAAGCGCCAGAATTTCGCGCCCTTGTAGAAGTAGATCTTGCCGTTTCCAGTCCATACGGTAGCCGCATCGATGTTATCGGGAATACCGGTAAAACCGTCGCTAATTTCCTTCGGATACTCACCGTCCATGGTCGTGTTGATGTACCTCCAGTATTGCGAGCCCTGTACGAGGGAAACATTTAGTCGACTTGGAAAAAGAGAAGGTCAAGGCTTCTTACCTTGAAGAAGTAAGTCTTGCCATTCCTGTATGTAAATGCAGCGTCTATGTTTGACGGCAGCTCCTTCCACGTGCTACTGATACGTCTAGGATAGCCGCTAGCCACACCGTTGTCCGTTAATTTCCAGTAATATTTCCCTGGAAATTACCCATTTGCTATATAGAGCTAATGAAAGATGACAACTCGCGGTACGTACCCTTGAACGCAATTATCTCGCCATCCTTGGTGTTGAACATTGCGTCGATCTTGGGATCCTTACACAATTCAGGATCTTCCTCGGCAGGCGGCAAAGGTCGCGATCCTCGCGAATTGGTCTTGCTTCCGTATAGAGCCTGAAATGGTTTCAATGGTTTTATCGGATGTGTAACTCGTGGTAGGAGCCCTGAAAGGTACCTGAATCGCGCTGACGTCGTCTTGATCCAGGGTGAAATGTGGATCGTAGCCGCGATAAAAAGGTGCCATCAGGGCGCTCTTGACATCGCTGTGACTTAAGCCGAGCGAGTGGCCAAATTCGTGAGCCGCGACTTGAAAGAGATTGGTACCGCGGTAGCTTCTGATTGTCCATCGTTCAGAGTCGTCGAAGTGAGCGTCACCACCGTAGACGGGAAAGTACGCGTGTGCCAAGGTGCCGCCGGGTCCATCGAAAGGATCACCGTCGCCGTGCTCGCCCACCTCGAATCTGATTTCGATGTGAACCTAAAGGAATCGAGAGCGGATCCTTGCTTACTCTAGATATATCACTCTACACGATACGCGTGCGAGCGGGTATAATTACATTCTCATGTCCTGTTTTGCGGTTGAATGTCAAATCAGTTTCACCGGACCAAACGCTGAACGCGTTCGCGATCTCTTTGTCCACTTCCTGTTTGTTCAGACCAGTTGGATACTTGCTAATTTTGTACGTCAAGTTCTTCGTACGCCATCTGGATCCTACGGTAAACGGCGGAGAACATCATTCTAGCATGGCGCGTCAATTGTTTATTACTCGTAAGAATGAAGATCGCGTGTTACGTGCTCGTTACACCGGCTACGATTTATGCAACGGTTGATGCGCGCATCTCGTACGACTCTCTTACGCAACGAAAGAGCAAAATGATGGGCGTAGGTTCTATGGTGATTATCGACTGACAAAATGAAACATGGCCAAACTTGGCGCCAAGAGTTCACTGAAACACCAAGCGCACGTGCTTGGGTTCAAAGTCACGGTTAGCTCGATTTGTTATTCCGTCGATAGTCACGCGTAAGGATGTCTTTTTCTTTCTCAATCGCGACGTGACCAAAAGGGTCGAAACGTTCCCGCGAACGAGTATCGAGCATCTTTGGCCTCTGTGTGACGAGTCCCATGTAAATGTAAATATCCGACGAAACGTGTCGCTTTGTCGTTCGATCGCAAAGCAAAGTGCAACAGTTGATTCAAACGAATTCATGTGGCTGATTTAGAATGCATTTGGCACACATCCGACAGATGTGTTATCGCGATATATGGTAGATATCCACGTGACCCGTTTAGGGTGACTGACTCTACATCTAACCACGTAGAGTGGTAGCGGAATATTTCGTTATTTCGTGCTGGCTATTATTACAACATTGTATTTCACGTAGACTTTCTACGAGTTTCGATAGATTAGATAATCGATCGATGAAACGTCAAGTTGTGTCACACCTCGCGGTTAAACTTTCTTATATTTGTCAATTATCGATCGAATAGTCGCGCGAGACAGTTACACTCACCTTGAAGAGCGTATCTCTTCGATCTTCCATCGGCAGCTGGTCCAACTTTATCTTTAACACCGCATCTTGGTGTAGCCATAAGCTTAGCGGTCTCTTCGTTCAATTCGCCTGGAAATACAAAGATAACTGAGATAAATTTGAGTCGTTTAGACAAGAGACCTATCATATCTTTTCCCATCATCTTCCGAGTGAGCGCGTGAATCGCGTGAGAAAAATAATTAAAAGTCCGTCGCGGATTCTCGCGTATATTGATTGTATGTGTATAGGTGACGCGTATGTTTCTCGCACCCTGTGCACGTATTAATTTCTCATGCATGTATGCATACGCTACCGTTGCTACCACTAGTCACGCGACTCGCCGATATTTACATCGTGTGCACCGTTTGCAAAGAAAACATTTTATTTATCCAACACATATTTTCCAGGAAGGAGGAAATTTCCCAAGTACATTGTATTTCAGCGCGCTAGATTCGTTAGTAGCTATAAATACGTCAACAATGCGAGGTAGATTATGGGCCGATAAACACACTTCATCTCGAATAATGCCGCCACGCCGATGGCCTGCAATTTTACAGTTAGATCACTCTTCCGTTCACCTTCGCTTTTTATTGGACTCGATTGCTTGTGTTTCGCCCTCTCCTATAACGACCGACACGAAGCTTGCTCGCGTTGATCCCTTCCGTTGTCTATTTCCCTAAATGATTGCTCGCGCGAGCGATGGACCCACCGTAGCAATAATGACTCACTGACGTTCGGTCGCGTTTCATCGAATTCTGAATCATCCTTGTCCATTATCATTAACAGTCTAAATCAACCGGGCGGAGGTGAGCACCGACTCCTCGAGCGGCTTGGCGTTACACTATGTTTCGCTCTTTTCTCCATTCCTTCTTCAATCAAGTCACCGATGCGTCCGATAATATTGATAAAAACTCATCCTACTCTTGTATACGTTCACACACATGGATGATATTTAGTAAATGAAATGCACACGTACCTGTTATATTAAGACCGGCAAACGCTTGGAATTCTTCTATCGCTGCCGTCAGCTTTTCCTCACTTAAAAAGGCGCCACTTTCTGGATTTATCGGCGGCAAGTATCCGTATTGCGACAGATAATTCTGTAACATTTAATATACTTGAGTTTCGTTGGCGCAGCAATGGCAGCTCAACAACCGAAGATAGGCTTTCCAACTTTTCTTATCCGCCGCACCGCGCGTGTAAATTTGCCGACGCCCTCGGAATTGTCGCTCTTCTCTCTGTTTGCGCAATTATAATTGTGCGATTACGTGGCCAGGTGGGAAAGCATACACCGATCCGAGCCTTCGATTTTTCCCAATACACGCGCCTCGCTTATCGCTACTCCTCCCGCGCTTACGACGTGCGAACACCATCCGTACGTGACATATTTCTAATTCATCATCTAAAATAACGTGCTCTTTTACTCGCGAGAAGCGCGTGTCGCAAGAAAGATACGATCCGTACAAGAGTCGTCATTAGAGTCAATTCGGATGACGTTACGTTCGAAGTACAGATTACCTCCTTAAGAATGACTCATCCCTTATATCGGGCACGGAAGGCGCTGTCTGCTTCTCTCGCGCGTTCTAGATTCACGTAAAATAGCGATCTTGAACGAACAATCCTTTCTAATGTGCCACAATAATACACCGTTGCGTTGCGTGGAAAGTTGCCCGATCGATTTGCTATCGCGTGCACTCTTTCGTTTCGGGGCTACCTCCGTATTGATTTTCTTCTTATCCACACCAACGTACGCCTGTCCCTTATAATTCCTTATGTTAATGTTTATGTGTAACGTTTATACTAGAATTCAATTAAATGAGGCTTTCGATAGTCCATTTCGAAACCTACTTGTGTAAGGCCACTCGAGCAGAGAATCCGACAATCGTCGCAAATTGCTGTTGCGCAAAGGAGTAAGTAAGTCACGCGAGAATTACCAAAGTATTCATGTTCCTAGATTTAGGCGGATTAGGCAAGCAGCAATGACCGAGGAGACTGACTTAACCCTAACCGACAGCGGGATTTACTGTTATTTAACGACACTTACGCATACTTGCGTCCCCATTAATATTCCATCGGCGAAATCGCTGACGACGAACGTCAAAATATTCAAACATTTACATATTCATCTCTTTATACTCCATTCGCGTCGTGTATCGTTGACAATAAATTCATTTTATTTCGGAATACACTCTTTCTCGCGTTATCTACATAATAGATTTCAAAATGAATCGGTAACAAAAGGTGATCTGTAGTGTAATTACTAAGTTATGGTGTGAGTCACGCCATAGAGGAGGGGGCGGTACATAAAGGGTATATTCATTCGGATGTTTTTGCAGTAGTAATCCGATGCGTGTCCCTTGACAGCGGTGCTTGTTTCTGAGCGTGTAGTCTCGCTGATTCATACTTTAGGACAAAAATTGACACTTACGCAAACATGTACTTTGATAACGATCGTTTTTGTCGTGTTATAAACACAACAATCGTTACATCGCGTTATATACTAGAATTTTCTTGCGGTTGTTTTTTTTCCTTCAACAAAATTCCAAACTTTGCTACGTAAGAGAATAACGTGCGCGTGCGCATGTGTGTTTTATGGAATTTCCAGAATGATATCTTGTTGATAAGAACTTTCGTAAGGCTGCCTGGTATCTTCACCAGGATAAATAACTGACGTTTAATTTTGTGGCCATCGCACTGTTTTTCCGCTCGAATGAACGAGATGATTCAGTGCCCCTACGAGTCAGAAATTTCGTAATTCCTCTAGGCAAGTCAGCTTCCGCAAAGGTTGGGACTTTTATGAATGAACGTAAGTGGAGTGCGCCCGTACCCACGTGCGTGTGTCATGCGTGAATGGTCCCCCTCCCCTTTCTCTCTCTCTCTCTCTCTTTTGCGTTTATATACATATGTGTAGATTCAACCTGTACGCAATACGGCGCGACTGAATCAGCCAAGTGGTTTTCCACGTATCCGATCATGGCTTGACTCAGCATTGCATCGCCACCAGAGCTGTAGAGGTATCGCTGGAATTCAAGGTCTCTCACTCTTCCGAGTGGATGCTGATCATCGATCGGCGGGCATTGGCAGCGATTGCCTTGGATTAATTGCGAGTGGGTGAAGTACACCCAAGAGATTATAACACATCTATTTGGTCGTTGCATTTTGAATAAATTGTAGCGGCTTGGTAACTAAACATAAGGGAGACACAATTATAGATTTCGAGCACGGAAGGCACATACACGCGATGATTATCCGGATGTTCCTTGTGCAACCGGAAATGTACGCGCGGAAAGATGCACAATACATGGGTTGAAACCTTGGTTACAATTATATTTTATGACCGCGCATGAATCGCATTAGAATGATCTGCCGCGAGTGCAACCAGAATAGATCTCTTCATAGTATCATTACAAAAAAGCGAATCGCCTACGCGCGGAATTCAATCCGTCGAGTTTAATTATACTTTGAGCGTTTCTCTCCTTTTTGCTCGAGGAAACAAGTTTGAGGAATTTTTATTTCTTTCGCGAAGAAACAGGAGAAAAAGTGTATATCTGAAAGATAATTATTCCGTCTGCGGTGTTCATTTTTTTTGTATCATTCCTTCCTGGTTATATCATGCCTATCTTATTAAAAACCGAACCCGAGTGTTTAACGATTGATTGTCAGTATTTTATTTATTCCGTCACATTCAATTACGTCATCGAACATCCTCGTGTCTCACTATCTATGAATTAACGACAAGAAATTTCGCGTCGAGAAATGTGATACTCGTGAAACTTGTAATCTTTGTATGTCGTCGTCGCCATAATTACACAGCGGAACTTAGACACGAAATGTTTTATATCCGGGTTACCTTGAATCCGTCTCGTTCGAGGTATTACGTAGATATTCAGGATAATATTCTTCGGAAAGTACAGTTTGCGCCAAAAGTGGCATGCTATTGATGCTATTGAATATACGTTTGCCATCGAAAACAATCGTCTCAAGTGACGAACAAACTTGTCATATGTCATTCGTCGTGCGTGAAGCAACAACAATGCTCGTTTCCATCACCTGAATTTTTCGTCGAGATTTCGTGCAGTTCATTGCAAACGTATTCACTGTCTTCTGCAGCGATGCTTAATCTCTCCGTGCGGTATCTAATCTGAGATGTTGAAAAGATGCCAACTATCAAAGTTAACAAGTCAATAATGTTGGTAAATATGTTATTTTTCTAGTATTTAAATTTGATTGAAAATTACTTGATGCTGACGAAAATAGCTATCTAGGTCAACTCAGGTATCTAGTTGATTGTACGACTTGTACGATTAGTAGATAGCAGGGTACCGCAAAGGCCAAATGCTTTATGCTAATGAAAACTTGAATAACTCGAGCACCCCTACGAAACGTAATATCTCTTCCTTTGACCATACATATAGTCAAAGACTTCCGAATACCGGTTAGAATCGTGTTGACGATATTAACCGTGTCGACAAACTTGATTCGATCAATTTCAATTGTTTCTCATCAACGTGATATCATAGTTATGAATTTTATTTCACGGTTTTATAACTTGCCTAGGGCTGCAGAGAGAACTTGATACGGGTATGTAATGCGTCTAAATAATCGTGGTCTTTTATCTTGTCGCGTTATCAACGATAACGGCCTGGTTCGCCTTCCATAAAAGTTCTTTTTTTCTCTCATCGTAGTTAAACTGAAATAACTCGTAATACTGTCTGCGATGTGTGCATTTATTGTACATACGTACCATATATTATATTTGTTTCTATCCCGAAATCGTTCAAGTTCGATTCTCGCAAGTTGCATCTTATTTTTTCATAAATGGAATAGTACAGATAAGATTTCGACCCGGTTACGCTATCGATTGATATCTAACCGTCTAATGCGAAAGCATGGGTCTGGACAAAGGGATAATTTAAAAGGTTAACTATGCGCAGGCTTTTGGTTTTGTCTTGCGATGTGAGAAAATCAAAGGCGTCTTTTATTGCATTATGAATTTGGCGCGTATGTGAATCATATCTTAACACATGTGCAGAACATCCTAAACGTTTTAAATTTTTCATTAGGTGTTCCTATCAAATCTTCTTCTGGGTTTCTCACTCGAAACTTTTGCAATAATCCCATTTCATTCAATTCGATATGACTTGTTCTCTGGCTGCCAAATACTATCTGATTGCAAGATTTTCCAGTTTGTTGATGTTTTAAAATAAAAGGAAGTAGGAAGAATATAAAAAAGCGTCGAGTATCGTACCGACCTTGAAGAGGTCTTTGTCGACGCGAACGCCATCGGTATTCCACATCCTCTGCTCTCGCAAACGTTGTTTGAATATAAAAGATAATTCTCCGACCATCCACCGCGTGCGCTGCTTTGTACAATACGCTTTTCCGTGTGTAATCTCACGGTAGCCTTTAACTTTTATAAAAGTGGATTCACCGTGTTATAATTTTTACGAGATATCAAATATCTGCTTTTGCAATAAAGATATTTAATCATTAATAAATTGATGCGTTAACTGTCCGTAACGAACGCCTGATTTGATCTATTTGCTGTTTCGTCTCGTTGCATCGATGGGAAAGCAACTGATTTGACCGATTTGCACAAATTATTATTACAGCTATTTCGCTAATATTAACTTTTGTAGCTAAATACTGACCGAACGTCTATCTATAAAACTTAATATCTATGAACATACCGCAAGATTTGATGAAAAGGAGTGATTCATAAAGAAAAAGATGTTAAAAATCGTTGATTCAACAGGCACGGAAGTAAAATGGTTCAACTCGCAAGTAACGCACTATGTCATATGAGTCATCGTTGCGGTGCAAACGAATGCGAATTTTTCATATTTTTTATCGACAAGCTAATGTTTCGAATTTCAACAACGTCAATGTCAGTTGATGCTAATGCGTATAAAGATCGGTGCAATTGTTAATTTTAGAACTGCGTTTTGCTTGAAAAAGAAAATGCTCGAAAGGACAACTGCAGGAGCCGACTCGGTCGACCCAGCGTTCGTAAGAAAATTGAGACTAAAGGTTAAGCACGATACCGGGAACAACTTTTAAAATGACTTTTAGAATGATTAGGAGCGTGCGTTACATAATAAACGACGCACGTGCGGATTCCACGTGTGCCGTTACATAAACCATACGGACGCATTCGAGGAAATAGAAATAGCGGTTTCATCGAGAAATCAGACAGTCACTTTGACACGTGATGATTACATTAGCGCGCGCGCGCAGGTCCGCGTCCGCGTTATCTCACACAAGCGATTAATTGTAAAATACTTTTATCTTCAACATATGTATTATCGTCCTTAAAATTTGACCGATGCCTTTGGCGCTTGATTCGTCCATTGTAAGTAAGAACAGTCCAAGTTTTGATGTTATCTACGACACTGTTGGTGGCGCGTGTCTTATCGACAGGTATAGCATCTCTCCGCGAATGCGTTGCGGATGCACGACGTCGCTAATCGCATATGTACCTTGATTTTTTTGTCCTTCTCGCCCACGTGTACTCGACCCACTGCTAATAGTTAACGTATCGTTCGTGCAGAACAAACAAGTGTTGTGTTCCGACTTGTGCAAGAGCCGCAGCTTTGCTTTGTTCGTGAGCTATCGTCGCGCCGAAGAGCCACGTGGTGTTTGCCTCGCAAAAATATCATTGTATTAAATTCGATATCCCATTGCCGAATTTACAGACAAGACAGGCAATCTTTTTCTCTATCTGTATAGACTCGCATTGTACGACGGATGCTCCGAAGATGCTTCAATGATACTAAAACCGCAAATGTGAAACGAAACGAAACGAAACGAAAATGATCTAATCGGGTCTATAATCCGGAAGAAGCGAACGATCGCTAGATCGAGCGATGATGAGAGAATCGTTACTATTCCGATGATGGCCGATGACGGCCCGTGTTCAGACTGTGAATCCAATGACGATCGTAGTGACAAAGACCAAGATCTCTGCATAGTGTATTTCCGTGTTGAGAAACATGCATTATTTACAATTTCCTAGTATAATTTAACGATAATTTAAAGGAAAGAAGAAAGAAACGTACGTACGCGCGCGATTCGACAACTTGACACCTGGCTGAGAATTGAAGCATCGGGTTATCGTTCTTATCGCGGCGGATTTCGTATTACTTACTTGATGACCATTCGAGTTTCGGGCGAGTTTCATCTACGATTTACGATCGTGATAATTTTTGCAGACACACATGGCGATATATTTTTTTCTGCTTAAATATGCATACTCACCAACACAGTAATTACTGTTTGACGTTGCAAATGATTTTTCTACGATCGTGTAAACAAGTGTATCGTGCGAATGACGTGGAACGCCGAGTAGTATTAAACGCTGTTATACGTTTATGTATAAAAATTAAGGTCTTGGCTTTCCTTATCAACTGTACGTGTGGATACATACTACATATACGTCTGTCTGTAGATGCATAACATCTTCTTCTTAATTCTTAATTAATTAAAAAATCAATCACCGAATCACACATTGCAACGATCTTTCGACAATTGCTCGTTGTCGAATTGAGAATAAGTAAACGTAAGGTGCCGCGTTTCCGTCTGTTGAAGAACACATCATTAGATAACACACCAAGTGAGTTTCGGCTGTGCGTTTACCTAAACCGATAATTAAGTTTATTGTCGCTAAGTTTAAACGGAAAAAAGGAAATGTTGGAAAATGCTCGCGCTTTGTTTGGGGTGGCCGACGTAATCGCACCTCAGCATTCAGAGATTAAGATTTTTCCTCGGTACGCGTACATAGATACACGCAATGATCTTGCATTACTCATATGTGACGCATCGCGAGGATTCCTTTCTTTCGTCGGAACATCGGCAAACTCGCTACATACAACTTGCTACGTGGCGTATATAAATTGTGCCAATAGTCCAGTTGACTTTCACACACAATCTTGACAGAAAAGTGACATATACAGTTTCTTACCGCGGCATTGTTGTCGTTAATTGCATCGGTGGGCGCCGCTTCCGTATCCGCGTAAGAAACGAGGAGCGCTATCGCCATCAAGTAGACGTCGGCTCTTCGCTGTCGTGAAACGATCTCGGCCCACCTCGTCATATTTTCGACCCCACTCGTTAAGCTTCCGCTAAGGAGAGTTGATCACCCGTGAGTTTCTCGCACGCGTCACGACCAACACTGAATACACACGTTGCACGTGCTTTTCTCCTACACCCCGTTTACCGTACCGTCTAGAATCACCACGTCAGATGATGAACGATAGATACTCTTACTTATCATTAGATATCGATCGTCGCGTATCTCGGGCTCTCGACGTTACTTGTCGCGTTAATTTTACTCGCAAAACCGTTTCCACCGTAGTTCTCAGATAGAGTACCACTTGGCAGGGTGGTGGTCTTTAACGTGGTTGCCACAACACTATCGATCTCGCGGTCTTTTCCTCGCTGGCGGTTCGCTCCAGGGTCTTTTCAAACTTCTGATTCTTCCTCGCTGTATTCGCGTATACGCGACTTACATGCACCTCGTTCGATTTTCAATTCGACAGAGACCTCCTTTTTTTCCTCTCCCTGATGGCTTTTGCAGAAATGATGCAGAAATTTCTATCAACTTGAAATCGAAGAGCAAAGGAAGACTAAGAGGGGGAGAGAGAGATCAATACTTTGGGTTGGAACGATGGACTGGCGATCCACGTTAAAGGAGAGGAGAACCCGATGATAAACGCGCGGGTACGCGGTACCGCTCTATCCGAAGTCCACCGCTACTCTGAATCGTAATCAGTCTGCCACTGACTTTTATCGAGATCTCCCACCATAGCCGCGATGGCCACGGTCACACCAACCGCGCACCACGACGCTCCTACACGTGCAGGTACATGTTGCAGCGCTGCTGCCTTCGCGTGCGCGATAGTTAGTCAGATTGGGTGCAAAGGATAAAGTTTCACAGGGTATACGAACTTGTCAATGTTCCCTGATCTTATCCCAAAATCATCCCTTGACACACTAAATCATAGTCGCTTTCTTTTTCACTCAACATGTTACGAGAGAAGTTTCGCTCGCATTAATTACATACACCATTCGCTGCTGGTCCATTTTTATTTTCGATTAAACGATTGTAGCAAATATCGAGTGATGTTTTCCACATCTTTCTCTCATTGTCAGTCACTAAGGGACAGCGATGAATAATCCTGCATTAGGAACCTCTTTTCAATATCTATTGTCACGAAGGAAATTATATCCCGAGAGGTCGCGTGGGTAACTTTGTGACTCATTCGGGTTTTAGGCTGCTTTCTATTCCCAAGAATTCCTTTAACGATGCCGACGACCGCAGACTCGATCCCAAGTCGGGATTAATGCATGAATTTTATATGTAGATAAAGCGCGAGATTCAAGTTAATTTTCAATGACATGTCTTGCCTGCGTTAGCTCTTACATTTCACCCTTGCGATAAGCAGTTTTGTATGTTTATTTTAATTTGTACGCACTTGGTGTAAATTAATTCGTAGTAAGATTTTGCACCGATACAGGTATCGACAAACCCATATCCATATTCTCCACGTAATTTTCACCTGTGCTTGTAGAAATCGCACGATTCCCTCTTATTGTTAGTTATCCGCACCGGCACTACAAAGGATACTTATGTATATTAACTGAAACCGCGAGTCTCGTGGAGACGAAACTTGAATGCAAATGGCTGAGTACATTGAACGAATGAGTAAGCATCAGACTTTTTTGGTGCGCACGATTGCCACGATTGCCGCTCTGCATTTCATCTCTCTCTCAATGAATAAAGAGTTTTCATTCTTTTCCTTTTCTCCTCTGATTCTTCTCTCTTCCGATTTCATTTCGTTTTAATTCTCCTAGAATTTCACCTGTCACTTGTGTCCAAATCTGTTATCAATTCTGTAAAATGTAAATGCTTCTTATACGAACGAAAAACGTTTTTCTTTTTATTTTGCGCCAGTGCATGTATGTGTAGTAATTGCAAGTCTGAAAAAGCATATTTCCGGTCTCATACGTTACTGTGATTGTGAGTTAAAATGCTTTTCATTTTCATCCCTACACATGTATGGTTTTATTATACTTGCATATAAGAGGGAAAAGCACCTTTGTCCGTGCTAGTCTCTCGAAGCGATGTTTTACAAGGTAGAGGAGTACAAGGAGCAGAGGAGGTCGACGAAGACATCAGCTCGAGACGATCGCATCTCGTGCCGCGCCCAAAATTGTATTCCGCTTCTTTTTTTTCTACAAACGCTGCGCTATAATTCTAATCGTTGTCTATCCAGCCGGTTCGTCCAATCCCTTCGGTCGTTCTTCCCGACTTGGATTCACCTGGTCAAGGCCATTGTCGCGTCAATCCGTCCGCGTGGATGAATTAGTCTCTCGCACTTCATAGTCGACTCGATGATTATTCGTGCCATTTTATTTTAATATTTGGATGAAATGTGTCGAAACGACTGATAATTTAAGCTTTTTTTCCCCTCCAAAGAACAGGAAGAGTATATCGGGCGGATTATGTATACGAGAGCCTGCGGAAAACTAACTACTGTATACTACTAATGAAAGCTACTCATTCTCTGTGCGTTTATGCGAATGATTCATCGTCGCGCGCAATTCTTCGTAGAGGAGAAACCAACACACTCGGAAGTAGCGCCTATCGTAAAATCATTATCCAAAGAGATGCTCTTGTAAAGATTTATACTATCAATTTAACTTCAAGTATACCAGATGTGCTCGTGATGAAAACTTGCACGACTGTGTGACGATCGGGGAGGGGAATGAATCATTTCCTTGGAATCACATTCAAATTTTAGTTGGATGCAAACTGCATGAGAAATTAGTGGCTACGAGTAATGTGATGCACTCTTCTGACAATTCTGCCAATTGTACGTTTCCTGCGCAAAACGCGAGTAATAACAGATTGCCGATGGAAGATTATCCGCCCTCGTTTTGTCGATACACGGAAATACCAACACTTGTGACATTGAAGGGTGTTTTCATCGTGATCTGTGTGTGATGTGTGAGTCAACGAATTGTCCAGCGATCGTTCCTGCTAACTGCTCGCTTTTCCTAAGAATCCTTTGACTTGTCAACGTATAAACCAACAAAAGAGGGGTCCACTAAATTTCATCAGCAGAAAGTCTTGTGAAATTCAACGGGGATCCTGCCGTTTAACAGTTGCCGTGATCGCGTCACTGTCTCTACTCTCCAGTAGCCAGTTATGCAAATTGGAAGAAAAAAACTCTTTCTCCACCTATACGAAGACGGGAAATTTTTGTGAGAAATCCAAGTTGACATTTCTCCGAATTTCTCGTTATCGCTCGTCATCTTATCCTTTCATCTTCTGGTCGTCTCGCTCGATCGTCCTTATTACAGCTTTAACACGCAAGCTCGCCCTCGAACCGCTGCGATAATAAATCATTCCTATGCGAATATCGTTGGCGTAATTATGCACATGCATCGTATTTCCCTTTCCCGTTTGATTCATATGCGGCACGATGGACCGTCCGAAAGGTCATCGCGCATCGATGCCAGATACGTATCTCTCGTGGAGATGTTTTTCCACCATCTTCCTATTAGACCTATTAGACGCGAGGCAGATGATTCCTTAATTCCACCGGCTCTTTGTAATCTTGGATCGTCAAGTGAATCATTTCACAGACTTGGCGAATCGAGTGTCAACTTTTCTCAAGCTGCAAACGTGTTTCAAGTGGTTCGACACGCCTTTAATCTTGACGGAATATGCAGTTCCAAGGAGTTTGAAACTACAATGGCAATGAGAACGAAACCAACAGGTTTCTACGAGTGATACGAGTAACTCCGAGAGCTGAGCGGGGATCAACCCGCTGCGCGCTGCTTGGAAAGATGCGACGTTATAAAGCTAGTATCCCGTAGAAATCAACTACGAAGAAACGTTCAAACGTGAATAATTGTCTTATCGTAGCGCCTACGGGGTCTACACGGTAGATATATGTGGGCTTTCGAATTAAATCAAGTCGATGTTGACAGAGCCGACAGAGGTATATCGAGAACGTCACACGAAAGCAGCTATATCGACAAAATAATGGCTTCGTACGACTTTGCCGCAATTATCGTGGCTAGGTTTCAATAGCACGCTTCGTTTCACAAAAATTGTCGCAACCGACTCGCGCTATATCTATTTACGGATTTGTTTTACATCAAATTCAACTCTTTTTCCTTTTGTTGCGACGTGATCCTTTCTTACGCTTTTATCGTTGTGACAACTTTGTAATCCAGCGCAAATAGTTATCTGGTTGCCGATCGCTAGAACGGTCTTCGCAAAAGTGAAATGCAATCCCGTAGATTGCCTGCTTGTAGGTAGAGCAACGTATATCATGGCGGCGATGCAATATACATATGTCGCTAATTCCGTAAGGAAAGAGTAAGCGTGGGCTCAGGTGCAAAGTTCCAGACGTTTCATTATCGTACTTGCTCGTATACACGTACCTACGTACGTGTCGATTACAACGTCAACATTTCGACCAACTGTTTGCGTTCTAGTTACCTACTCCTGGAAATACATGACTTTTGCTGAAATTGACAATCGCTCAGTTATTTATTTGAAAACTTGGTAAAACTCGTCGTTTTATCAGGAGGACAAAACTTGGCATACGTTTCTTCTTTACTCACAAAGAAACTGCACACGCGCACGACAATTTACATTCATGTGCATTCCTTGTATTGTGCACACGCACACCACGCACTTACCGAAGAAGACGTTACACGAGGGTTGCGTGATATATTAATTAACTTTGTCGAGGATTATTAAGACGAGAATGAAGGAAAGAAGCAAAATAACCCAAATTGCGATAACTTGCAGAAAAGATCCAAGAGACATATTGTCTTGAGAGACGCGCATCTGCATCGAATAAAGCGGGATAAAGCGTGCGGACTCTTTTGTCCACCTTTACGATCCGTCGCATATTACTGGCGTCACGAAAAAAAACCTGGCACTACGTATTTATACGTATTATAGCGCATATATTATGTATACTTCATCTGCCAAGACAAGAGCAGACAGAGACGGCGGTGCAGCTGACCATGGGTAGGTTCACTGATCCCATCGTCTTCGAAGCATACGCTCTTTCAGCGCAGCTTTGAGATGCTCGCGACTCGCTCGCGTCGAGAAAAAGTGAGAGACAGAGGGAGAGAAAGAGAGAGAGAGAGAGAGAGGGAAATGAGAAGAAAAGGGCAACTTGAAGTCTCTCTTACACTCGAGAAAGAACATTGCCATGATGTGAAAGCAAAAGAGGGGCATGCGTTACATATCCGAGTCCGCCCCGTCGGCTGCTGAATGTCAGTGCCTGAGACCTGAGACGATTCCCAGAAGTAAAATAACTCCAACTCCGTCGCGTCCTGAACTCGGTGAAAGAATTAAATTATTTAAACGGTATCAACGATCAAAATATCCTTTTACTGCTCTAATGATTTTCCAACTCCCCGAGTAGAGTATTTGGTTGGTATCCTGGAATAAACCTGGAATACACGAAAATATATGTATACACGTAAGAATGCGATTTATCCGTTGACTCGAATAAGAGAAATTCGCAGATCGTGTGAGCAAAGTGTCAAGGCGCGAATCAGAAATCCCCGTTGATTCAATTTGCACAATTCCAGTAATTTTTTAACTACTTGGAATTGTACATTCATCCAAAATGGAAGAAAACCGATTAATTCCCGCCTGAGGAAAAGTATAATTCTTGAAAGCCTAATCTTTGAGTGATTCATCTCACGGTTGAAGATTACATGTAATATTATTGTACCTACTTGTCAAACTATCACGTTGTGCCATAACAATCGACGAATATCGTCGTCATTACAGAGACGTCTAGCTCCTCATCGAGGCAAATAACGACTGTCAGGGCCATTGAGGAGATATATTAATTGCAGACATCTCTTGTCGATAAGTTGCTCTTCAGTCATGGGAAAGAGTGCACGAGTGCACTCGCTCGCGCGCGGGTTTCTGTTTGCGGTGGACTATGAGAGAAAGATCACCTCCTCCTCTTGTGCGTGTTTCCGAGGACAAAAAAGACCTTGAAAAATCCTCCGACCAGAGTCACCGACTCTTCCCGCAGGAGTCATTCCATTATATTTAAATTAGATGACTACATCAAAACCCGTGTGGCGATTCACACACAGATATTATTTATCATACAAATATGATATTTTTATCGCGTATTCTCCAAATTAACTAGATTTAAAAGTTCTGCTTTTGGCTTACGAGCCATTGGCGTATGGACAACATCCATCGCTTAAACATTATGTGCTCAAGTCCGCCCTTGTGCTTAGTCAACGTGTGAATACCAATCTATTACATTAGTGATTTTCACAGCTCGATTTATCTTTTGGTTTCTTATCTTTGGTGCAATATGTATAACTTTTTCACGCAATTTAATACTACGAAGGTAAAGAAGGAATGACGCTTCGAATAGCTTCCTGAAAGTTATTTATTATCACACATATCGAAACGTACATAAAACGAAGCGCAAAATGTAGAACATGTAATAATGATAAACAATAACAGCAACAACAATAATAATAACGACGACGACGACGATGATGATGATGATGATGATAATAATTAAACAAATTTGTACGAACGTACATATTTTTAACTAAAATTAAATGGTGCAAATAATCAATTAATCGACAACTTGGCGTTTAACAAACTTTGTTCTTATGTGTATAACTTACTTGTTAATGCGAATATCACACTTTGCTCTGAAAGGTAAATAGATAGAATTTCTCCTTGAAATAATTGGTGAATAATAAATGGACGTGACGAAAAAATATCGTAACTTACTCTCGATAGATAGTATTCTTTCTGATGAAAGATGACAAAATATACATATAATAAATGCAAAAATGAAGATATTAGAAGGAAATTGTTGTAATTATGAGCGGAACACAAGTTTGCGGAATCGCAAGCAATTCCAGCAAGTAAAATCCGATCGATGACGCACACATTTAGAACATTAAATAATATTTTTATTATATTCATAAAAATTAAAATGTACACACCTTATTGTTTAAGTGATACTTGTATCTCAGCTTCTATATGCATGTATCGCGGTATTTAACAAGAGAGGTAAACGAGCTTACGAAATAAATATACGACTTTTTTTCGACAAACGGGAGGATTTCGGAAAAAGAGGTGATACGGTGTTTAGCTTACTTCAATGGAGATATTAATATTATTGACTGCTTATAAAATAATACTATTACACAATAATCATCCCTTGATTTGACTTGACACAGTTCTATTCTTCGTTAATAATAATTAGCTCCTGGCCTACGAGATCGAAAAGTACATTCTTGCTTTCGCGGCAAAGGATGCGCGGCAATGGTAATCGCTCGAGTAGCAACGCTTACTGCAGCTACAAAAGAAGATGAATAGCATTCATTTGAATTAGAAGAAAAATTACATGGAATATACTCGCTAGTTAGATTTTCTTTCTTTCGAGTGCCGCTAAAGCAGGCATGCCCCTAGTGCGTACGCGTGTGACTGGATGTGCATATCTACGCCCCTAGTGTGACACGCAAGGATGATATATCTTTCGTTTAATCCTGCTAAACGCGCGCCTCTAACCAAATGGCAATATTTTTTGGAGGAAATGTCTCGAAACGAGCTAGTCGTACACCTTAATCCGAGCCTACGAAACTTAGCTCTCTCTCAGATTCACGTCGTCGTATGTAAATTGTCAATGTTTATTCATTTCATTGCGTGAGACGAAAGAAATGTTGTCATCTCGTGAAAATATATCATTTACACTTGAGTCACGCACCGCGCTTCATACTTTGGCAGAAAATCGTACGAGAACACGAGGGAAAATTAATAAGGATATCAATTTCTGTAGCAGAAATATTCAGAGAAGTAAACACCAAGTGCACACTCAAGTACTTGCTAGTTGAATCGCTAAATATTGAAATTTCGTGCTGAATCGCGACAATATATCGCTAGGCGTAATGTCGGAATAGAAATAAACGTCACGTACTCGTGTTGACACGCGTGAACCTGTTCGATTCTCCGCACAGCTGCTCGCTCGTGCAGCTGTACAATTTTGAAAGGACCCTTTCATCCGAGGTACATTTAGAAATTTTACGAGGATTCCTCTCGCGTTTTCCCGTGCGTACCGCTTTTCATGTCGATCAAGTGTACGAGAGAGTACAAGTAGCTACCTTAACAATTATACAACTGTGATACTCGAGGACGATCATTCCGTTACATCGTAAATACCTGCCAGATATTCCGGTTAAATCGCTTCTCGTATTGTACAACACAACTGACTAATTTCATCATTTCAGGTGTTTTAGAGCAGCTCTAATTTGTACGTTACGCAATGTAAATTGTAAGAGATCCTTATTCAAATAATAACAGGGTACAAAATGAGACAAGTTACGCGGGATTCTTGGCAGGCTGCGTGAGAGCCTGTCAAGAAATATATCAACAAATATGTAGGTAATAAGCATACTTATTAATGAGTTATATGAGTCACTGTTATACGAATCATTGACAGTCAACATTCTACAAGTTATTTTTGTATAGTTTGGGGCTTTATACAACACCCCATCCAAATGTATATATTCGGTGAATACAAACCGGCTAGATACCTTTTTTTTGTCTTTAATCACACGATGCAAAAATAGGCTTTCCTATTTCCGGTTATCTACAACCAGATCAAACGACACGGCGCATCCTATCGATCTACAGAGAATTTCCGAAACTCTTATTATCTAGTATCGACTGTATCATTTCGTTATCTCCGGTAGAAGCTTTACACTTACAGCTTTACTAGCATCGACCGAATCGCCGATCGACTGAAACTATCTACGTCGCACCTTTCGCTGCCGATGATTTCGCATCGCTCTTGTGCCAAATCTTTTTCTCCCGTTTCTCCCGCTTCTCCCGCTTCTCCTGTGTCGCGATACATATGTTTGGCGAAGTAGACGGAAACAGGATCGATTCGAGGATTCGCAGGTTTAGAGTGTGTCCGTTTGATTCACACCGTACAAGGCTGATTCCTCTCGTCAAGCTTCTCGAAATATAATATAATACAAAGATAAAACAAAGGAGACTCAGGGAAGAGAAAACAAAACTTGCCTATTTAAGTCGGGATGGATCAAACGGATACCAATGTTTCTAGCGAGAGTGAACGGCTTAGGTTTTCAACAGATGAACAGCCGTCGTTGACATTCCTATTTAATCACATCAAGTTAAACGCGTGAAAGCTGTCGTGAACCTAACCGTGTGTACAGTGTCGTCGCGTGATAAATACAGTATCTACTTAACGCGGCTAGAATAAATGAGGAGGAGAGACAAAGCACGTGCTCACCTTGCTAATTTTCCTTACATTATTGTATTCTTACAGTATTGTGTCAGTATGATAAACGTACGAGGACGAATACGAGGGTTTTGTCACTTTATATCTCCGCACGCATACTTTATCTGTTATTTTCCTCTCTTTTTTTTTTCTTTTGCTCTTTCCCCTTTTTATACATTACATTAAAATATAACCACCAATCTTGAGGCTTACGTTGTACATATACACGTGTAGGTTTTACATTAGCGCGAGACCGTTCGAACGGTCTCACCGCGACGATGGTTTAGAAGAGTTCCGAATTCAATATTATACGTACTCTCGCACTTTTTCGTTTAATTGACGATTATGAAGCGTGGCCGCTAACAAACGCGGAAACGCGGTCGACAAGATACTTTCGAGGAACGGATCGCTCCAGCGACAAAGCTAGACAGAGAATTTTATGGGAAAGCGTAGTCGCGCTTGATCGAATAAGCCCGATCAAATAAGCGCGAGCAGTTATTAATGTTATTGGACAAAAAATGTTACGAGACTGGTGTGAGAGAAAGTTTCTTTCTTGAACTGAAAAACTGACAAAAGAAACGAGATAAAATTACATTACTAAAGTTGTCATATTAATCCTTTTGTTGTAAAAATGCTCCTCGATCGTCTTGTCTCGATGCGATCCCTGTATTTGTTCTTTGTGCTTTATATACTTTTTGCTCGCGTGTCACGGAAAAGCGCGATCGAAAATAAACTGCTCGAGCTGAACCCTTCGTTAAAGGCGCGTTTCCGCCGTCGACGATCGCGTCGACGAGCAGATTTAGATTAACAGGTTTTACTTAATCAGCGATGAAACGTTTGAGAAACGTTTTGGTTTCGCAGTTTCGGTACTCGATACTTGGTATTTTTCTTAACGGGGCCGCGATATACATTCGATAATATTCGATGCTCGTGGACACTTGGACACGAGGATGAAAACGAGGGAGCAGCGTGAACAGCAAAATATCGGTTTCACAGCCATAGTTAGGAGACTCGGTTTAAATGATGGACCCTCCCGTCCGCGACCCTTTGGAACGTGGATCGTGTCATTCGCAGCGATCGCGGATAATGTTAAACTCGGAAATCTTCTAGAGACACTCGTAAAACCGATTGGTCGAAAATATATTCTAGAATCATTTAGGGTACAAAGTATAGCGTGAACGATTATCTTTAGACAATTGCAACGCGGTAAAAATGGACATTGTCTTATTGCGGGATGGAATAGGCTGCGTAAGCTCTCTCTCTCTCTCTGCTCCGCTGCAGTTTCTCGAACAACACGAGGAAATAACAATTTAAATAATAATAAACATCGACCACACATTGAAAAAAATTCTTGTTTCGAGACTATCGTCCATGCTCTCTCTCTCTCTCAATGTCTGTTTAATTTACATTTTCTTCCGTGTTGTCTCTCTGCGTGTTTGTGTTGCAGAAAAGAATAGTATTACTCTGGATACAATGATTTACAAGTTACAAGGAATTCAGAGAAACACTATTCAAGAATCGGTAATTTTCTCGAGGTACACAACGAAAGTCGTGTATGATTTCGTCAAGTTTTTCAAGTCACTCTCCCCCTGTGTATCCAACACTGTCAGCGTTCGTAAAGTAGAGAGAGCAAGAGTAAATCTTGCTTTACGGATAATATACGAGTTTGAATGCATCGAAAGAGAAATGCAAGTGTCGATTATATCGAGAACCGAAGACGCGCGGTAATGATCAATACTTGCAGAATTTATTAACGTTATGCCGGGCAGGCGTGTAGTATCACTGTGACACGTGGACTCTTTAATTTCTGTTTCTTCCTCAACAATCTCTCGATTACTAAAAATGGACAGATGCCGCTGGTTGCAAGGTTTCCTTCTCGCAGAGGTAATTGTTATTTACGTACATAAAACCGGAGAGAGATTGTCTACTACGATAAGGAAACGTTGCGCCGCAGCGATTATTATAATTATTATAATTATTATTATAATTATTATTATTATATTCCATAAATATTACACATACAGTAATATACTCATTATTGATAATATAAGTATTGTTCTAATTGGACAGGAGCTGTTTTCACAATTTGGGCGAATGTACGAGTTATCTTAAATGTTAATTGCTTACTTTTTGTCTTTTTCGTATTCCTTTACGACACAATCTATATATCTCGTCAAGTAAGAGAAAAATATAGTAGTTTTTCGCCGTTTGATTTCACGCAAGATTGTGATTACGTATGTATGTAATGGCATTTGAAATGAAGCAAGTGTTAATACCCCCAAGTGAAAGACATATATTCGTTAACGTAAGCGTTAAATCACGTTACGGAATACGAAATGTTAATTGTCCGCTTTATAACATCCATGCTGTGCGTGAATAAAGCGATATACAACGTGGGCAACCCAAGTATGTATCTATGTAAGAGCTAGATGAACGTAGCTTTACGCAACTGATACGATGGAACAAGCTCGTCTATTTAGTTTCTACTACCTAAGGCTACCTAACCAACTTAATATTGCAACTCTATCGAACATTGTATCTTTGGACTTGCAATTTGTCCCTTAAAACAATTAATATTAAGAACCACTTTGCAATCCCCAAAAATGCAATACGCAGCTAGAATGCAGTATACTATATTATAAATTAAGGCGTGTCATGTTCACGTGATGGGATAACGGTGACAAGAGATGTATATTACAATAAAAAGGAACTTAACAAATCGCGCTAAAAAAATACAATATATGAAACAATTGTATATATATAAAATCTTTAAATAATCTGCATAACGCGGTAAAATATAATATGTATGCAAAATGTTTGTCGACATTTCTCCTTTCATTGGGCACGTTTCCGGGCCTATAAATTACCATGTGGTAATTTTGGAAAGTGTTTCGTCCAATGATTTGTAAAAACGCCAAGATTAAATTCGGTATATTATTATTATCGGCATGTCGCGTCTATCGTGTCGACACGGACCGATTTTATAAATACAAAATACCATTACGTGAAATATGTACATCAAATTGCAGTTATCGTGTATTTTCAGACTGACGTAAGTCGAGAGTAAAAGGAAAGATGTCCTGCTGACTTTTGATTAGTTTAGAATGTACAATTAAATCGTAAAGTATATTGTGCCTTCCTCGTAAAACACAATGGTTCGTAATTTGACGTGGTCGTTAAAATAAACTTGTGGAATGCTCGTAAGTCAATAAGCGTCGCAACACTGACTTTCGATACATGGCGACATGTATTATGCACGGGTCAATTATGCTACTCCCCCTCCCCCTCCCCATACCCTCCTACTTTTCTACCCCCTAGCCAAGTAGCCAAGTGGATGTACGCTTCTCATAGGATATGACAAGTCGAAAATATCCCATGCTTCGTGCGTAGTACACATTAATGACTTAATATTTCAAAGATTACTTTATGGTAATTTCAATAATCGATAGCTGCCCTAATGTCTAAAGGACTGAAACATTGCCGCTACATATATCATATAGGCATGTAGCATGTTTAGGATATTTATGTTGTGGCTCTTATTAACACGAAGTAATGGTGAAGCAGTGTGTGATCCGTTTACTTGCCGCGTGGAAAAGAACGTGTACCTGTTGTAGAGAGGCCTTCCCCTCGACTGCGACTTCGGTGCAAGGAATGTAACCCTTCGCCTGAAAGACAATATTGTTGCAGTCAATTCTCATTTCTTCACGCAATAATGAGGTAACCGGTAATTACCTTTGCTAATACTCCTGCGCATTGATGTGGATGGTGCTGGCGTGGATTCTTGCTTGGTGTAGCTTCTAAGTGCTCTTCCTCGTCTGTCTTGAATTAACTTATCCATTTTAACAAATATACCACATTTGGATCGGCATGTGAAATACCTATGGCCATTGACAGCACCATCGTTCTTGCCTATAACAATCAAGTACGGGCAGGCATTTAACATCTACTTGGAAAACCTAGATAAAGTATGAAGAGAGAAGGGAGATTTTTTGTACCAGTCGGAGCATCAAGTTCAACTCCTATCCAGGTTCCCGGTGCAAATTCTGTGGGGCCGACGTATGCTATAACTCCGGAATAACTATAAGGACGCACCAAAACTGATTCACCAACAACGATCCAGTCTAGTAAAGGAGCTTCCACACGAGTTAAGTCGTGCCTCGAACCAAACGCTGAACTTTTATCACTAACGTCATCCGCTGCAAAAAATATATTCTTTTTAGGGTTGCATAAGAAATATAACGCCGTGTCTTCGAAAGATATGCGAGAAATTGCCAAAACTAATTGCTTGAATTAGCAGTACCATCGATTCTCTCCGAAGAGCTATTGTCGCCATTTTCATACGGCATGTTAGGTTGTAACGTTTGCTCCAAGTGTACTGCAGCCTTGCTCTCAGAAAGTTGTGGACGGACCATAGGAAACGAAGCTCTGTGCTGCGAACTGGTAGGCCTTCCTGTACCGTTAGAAGTCTTTCTTCTTCTCACGACCTGATTAATTAAATATGAATTCAACTACTTGCACAGTCTCTTTTTCTCTCATTATGCTAAGTATATGACACTCACCTTGCCAGGTGGCAGTTTGGTGTGTACGATCGAAGTCCCCTCCATGGGACTATCGTCTCCCGAATTGGACGTCTGGCTGATCTCCATCTCGTTTTTCCTTTGAGTCTCGACGTGAAACATGTTGCTGTTAGTTTCGCTTTCACTCTTTGTAGAAGAGACTGGACTTTCGACATCGGTATCCACGTATGTTCCCATTTCTTCCAGATTTTTCCTAGTGTGTTCTACAAGACAAAAAACTATTAAACACTTGCAACAGAATAATCGTAGCATAGGACTTTTCCTAGTAACTAACCCTCTGTGCAAGTGCTTTGCGAAATGTTCAAGTTGTCCAATGCGGAGTTTACTTCGCTCAAATACTCCTCCGGCGTTTCCTCCACGAGGGAACTGTCCATTTTCTCGGGTTTCTTGCTATCAAGAACATTACGATATTCGAGATCTGGAGTCTCATCCACACTGATGGATTTGATAGAAATAGAATCTTCCGATGTCAGATTTGTCGTCGAAACAGCCTGAGAACCGTACCCGCTGCTACTCATACTTGGCGTATTGATCTTGGTCGACTGTAGTTCGACCAGAGAATCCAACGTGCGTGAGGAAGTTAGCGGCTTTACCGGTTTCGGTGGAGCCTGAGTACAAATACGCACTTTTATTACAAAGTTGCTGACTCCGCTGCAGACTCGCATCAACGAATTGACGTAATAATCCACAAGTATCGTCATTTATAAAATATACATTTATTTATTTATTCTTTTAGATAAATACTTTTAATTCAGAATATACGCTACCTGATATGCCTCATACTCAGAATAATCAGCGTCGCTCTTCTCCTCATCATCGTCATTGATAGGAGTAGACGCTTGATTTCCCACGTTTAATGTTTCCTCGTGTAATGTAGTCATACGAGGACCCAATTTACTGCTGACCATGTTTGGAGACGCTACGATCAACACAATTGAATTGATAATACATGATTGACGAGAAACATCTTTTATATATGTATGTTTATAGAATGTAAAGCATCAGGGCCGATCTGGCCATTCTAATAAGTTTATCCTATTGTTACTTTTACAAAATAAATTATTTTTGTTCGAGCAATCCTTATTTTAACAAATATTATATTGGACATTGACGGGTTTATCACAGAAACGTTGTATATCGAAAAGTGCCAGGTCGGTTCTGATGTACACTTACACATGCTTCCTAAAAATAACAAAAAAGTTATACATATTCCATGCTTATTTGTCGTACGACATTAATTTGCCAATTATATATTTTTTTTATTTATTCATGTGTGAATAAATATTCTTAAGCTCGGCAGATCATGAATAGATTAAGTAATAATCCAGACAATAGCGTGGAATATATAATTTGAAATAAAGAAACAAATTATATAGTGATCGGGATAACTGTAAATAATAAACATTGAACATATATATGTATGTATGTATACACACACATACATACTGCGCTTTAAGCGCAATAACAATTCAATGGCGATTATGGTCACAAACCATCTAAAATAAAAAACACTTAAAATAAAACAAAACCCAAATAGTACATCAATATACTACACTAGTTTCTATAATGGTCGAAACAAAACAAACTACAAACATGTTGACCGGATTCATCCTTTCAAACTATATAAGAATTGAATTGCTATTATTCTAATCTAACTTGCTGTCATAATTCAGACTTAAAGTTGAGTTAAAGAATAAAGTTTGAAAGGACTATCGACGACGAGTGTCACCTACACTTGGCAGAGGTAGATTGTTGAAGACGTGTCAATGAGTTGAGATTCAGGTTGAGATTCAGGAAAGTTGGTCTCGCTGAAAGGAGATAGATGCACTGATTACACTTCTTTTCCCTACACTCGAGTAGTCAACGCTACTTTTCCCATAATGGAGAGCTTCGCGTGAGCTCTTATGAACTTATATACTGACAAATCATGCCTGCAGGCCACAGACACTAGATGGTGAGACAAATAGACAAATAATGTAGATTGTCTAACGCGCATTCTAATACAAAACGTTTCATTATGTGTGTATGTCATGTCGCAATACCATTAATTAATTGAAACATCAATGTTTATGACACAGCATTTCGTGTAAGTCTCACTCTTCATTTTCTTTTGCATTACGCTGCTCCATTTCGGTAATAATTTTAATAACTCACCATTACATTTATTCAAAATGCACACTGTCGAAATATGTCATGTATATTAAACGTTGCTATCTATATGGTAAATAAATAATAAATATAAATTTATAATGTATGATAAACATTACATACTTCGATGATGTACATAATGAATTTAAGACTGTGTTTTCAGAGATGATCAATTTAAAGTCGAAGATAATGATATACTTTGTTATATTATATCGTAAAAATTATATATGGTTTTAAATTTTAATATATTATTATTATAATTTTGCTATTATTATTATTTTGTTAATAGTGTAATATTGTAAACGATAATTTTATAATGACACCGCTGCTGTACTATGTTTAAATCATACAGTGCCATATGTGTAATTAATCGTTACGTTTGTTCCATACTTTTGTTTACGATTATTTTCACATTTATAGAATGTATCTTTGACTTTAAACCGAATCTCCTTTTTTGTAAGAAAAACAACGGAAAGATTTGTCGTGTTATTGTGTGATTTCTTTCGAAAGTATAGAACGTTGACCCCCCCCCCCCCTCTTTCTCTCCTTTGCTCCCATACATTTCCTGCTTATACATACAGGAGGTTTATTCTGTCTCTTTATATCGATCTTCATCTTCTAATTCATAACTGTTTCATTGCGCTGCATAAACATAGTAATGGAAATTTAGATATTTAGACGGAAATATATATTATACATATCATGTTCAAACACAGAGAGAATAATCCTCTTAAAACGTATCAACTATAAAAAATATTTATATACACATATGTGTGTTGGAATAAATTTTCTACACTCTATCTAGAGTATCGTTCTCAATGGCACATTCACAAGTATGTATAATAAAGATTGAAATATCGCAGCAATTTCCATGTATATGCGATAGTTTAATCTTTTTTTTTATTACTTTACATGTTTTAATTAATTTGTTAAATGCAAACAAATATATGTATACATTTAACAAATCATTAAGGATTATAGAAATCATCTTGATTGATCTGAACATTTATTAGAAACAAGGTTTTAAAAATCATACGAATCTTGGTACGAATTATGAAAATAGATACATGGAAATGAAAATGATTTCTATGCGATGAGTTTGGTATAAACGGTGCGACGACACTGGACGTGTATATGTGTGTATGTGTGTGTGTCTGTGCGCGTGTGTGCAGTGTGTGTAAGCCAGTGCGTTACGCGAAACTTGGTTTCGCATGTTACACACACACACACGCGCGCGCGCGCGCGCGCACACACATAACTGGTCACTGGTATGTTGTTTTGCACGTTAACCGTGAACAATAATGTATATCAAATAGTTACATAAAAATAAGATAAATAAGAGAAGTAAACAGTTCAATGAACAAACTTGCTAATATGCTAGGCACACAAGAAATGCATTCTATATGCATGCAAACTAAACATACTGAAATATAACGATCACATAATGAAATTGCATTCGATTAAAATCGAAAAAAGATTAGCAGATTCAAATTGTAAATCTCCGCGACATGACGGCATGACGGGCAAAACTTGTTTTGATCCAACTGAACCAACTGGTAGTGAATAAATGACGCTTACGAGGGAACATATACTGATTGTCAAAACGCATTCCCGTTCTGTCAACATTACTATCGCGAATAACGTCTCGGATGTACTAAGGCAAACTTGGAAACAAAAAGACAGACAGACTCAACCACTCACGAGACATATGTACTAATTGTCATTGCCTGTGTGGCATCAATTAAATATCAAATCAAGACTCCATTTTACCTGAGTTCAGAATGGAGCCTTGCGTGGGCCGAAATAGTTGTAGAAGTAGTAGACGTAGTGTTAAACAGAGGAACAGATTAGTTGCATACATTATTCATTAATTTTGCTGTAGGGTTCGTTATTTAAGGTTTGTTAGTGTTTCATTTGATTGTAATAAGTGGTAGAGCGTACTTAAATGTAGCTGCTAACACTAGGGCAAATCTGAGAAAGTAGACTTTACCATGCTCAACTCTCTTCGTTATCAAGTGATAACAAGATGAAAATTGAATTTAGATCGATACGATTACGATCTCTGTTTGGCGGGGAACACGTTTCCGTAAAATTCTATTTATCATTAAATTCAGAATCAAGTCAAGTTGAACATAGCTTGGTGACAGAGAGAAGCTGGAATTATAATAATATAAGATTCCACAATATGTAGTATAATATAATTACTACGAATGAAATGGAAATATTTAAATATTCTCAAGTGGCGAGGTTGTCAATTATCTTAGATGATGGGAAAGGGTACCCTTTCGTAGTGTCACTAATCCTTTCGGCACAATTCATTTATCGTGCGTGTTTTGTTAAGTTTCACAACTTGATGGACTTGACAATTTTATCCAAGATGCCAAGAGAACAGAAGTCGTAGACACGTATAAAGGGTACACACTAGTGATGGATGATATATGAATTTCAATTAAAAAGAGATGGACAGAACGTACTTTTATTATTCAAAATCAACAGGTTCTATACCAAACGAAGAGTAACGGTGGAGCTTGGGACGATCAAAACTAGGGTGGAATATAAAATGATCGTCATAGCCAAAGTGAAATATCGAAAACATTGCATAAGCCACATTTCAGAAACAAAATGTTGATTTTTCATTGAATAAATCTCGATGAAGCAGATTAAGGCGGTGGAGAGAAAAGTGTGTGACTTTAACTTAAAATTTTAACCTAAAGACTAAAAAATCCCTAAACACGATGCTATTAAATTTAATAAAGCCATTAATTTAAGAGTTTAATGAGTGACTTAAGCAAACTAAATATTGCATTCAATATACGACGAGTTTGCATATAAGTAGTCGAAATCGAACAGAAATTTTGGTTAAAACCTATCGATTTTCTATCAGGCGTAGAATACCATTTCTAAATCCAGCAGAGATTATTTTCACAAAAATCACTTTTCTTCGAAATATATTTCTCTTGTTATATTATATGTAGCATATCTTGAAAATGTATCTCATACTTGACATGAAATGGATTACTATCAATGGTTATGAATGATTGCATAAATGAATGTGTTATGAATGACGGGGAGCTTGTGTGTCACACTACTTTTTACTTTCTATGATTTCATAATTTTGTTTTACGAGCGTGACATTTTACAAATTACCAAAAAAAAACGTTTTACATCTCCGCTTGACATAACAGCACAAGTCTGATAATTAAAAAATATATATACATAGATATGATGTATATAACGCACGCACGCACACACGCGCGCACACACACACACACACACACACACACACACACACAAAATTAAGAAATCATAGAAATCATATGTCTATAACTAAATGTTATTTGCACGTTAATATTTTGAATAGAGAGAATATGCTTACCGATTCCAAATGGCTTTGGCGGTGCAGATATAAAGTTTTCGTCATTTCTTGTGTGACCTATAGATGCACGTCGCGGATGAGGAAGACCATTTTCCATATTGAGATCTGTCACACTCTCCGAACGAGTAACACTCAGCGAATCCATTGACATATCGAATCTCATAATCTGTAAAACCCAAAAAATTCTATCTAAAAGTTCTCTATTCGACAAATCAGATACATTTGTACATTGAATAAAAGATACATAAAAAATTGCATGCCTAATAATGAAGGAAAAAAACTTTTCACGTTGAAACGAAACTTGAGTAAAGTTTTGATAGAGGAGCTGTGCTCGATATTCCCGCAACGTAGGGAAAGAGGGCTCTCACCGAGGCAATAATATTAACAAATGGAAATTTTGTAGAGAGAGAAAAATAAGTTACATGTACACATAGAAAATTAACAGTAAAGCACTTTTCTGTCGAAAATTCCGAAGGGAATAGTGGATAGAAATAGAAGGAAAGAGTACCTGAGAGAAGTTCGGAACACTCGCAGTCTTGCGCATTAATGGTTGTCCCTGCGCTTGTAACAATTCTTTTATAGCAACGCTCTGTCGTAATCGGTCCAATGTTAATATACTTTCGACGGCGGACACACCGCGAGTATATTTTTCTATAGAGATAATACGAAAGATTAATACAATTGATGCACTTTAACGAGATAATCACCAATGTTATTTCATAATTTACCTATGTAAGTCTCTCCGTCGCATAAACTATTATCTTCCCCGCTAGCAGCAATCTGCGCCAAGCTCTCGCGATCTTCCAGCTCTTCGCTCGCCTTTGGTATGTTGGAAACTACTTCGTAAGTGACGCCGGTTTGCGCCAAGCAGTCAGTTCGAATGATTCTCTTGAAAAATCTATCTGTAATGCTTTGCCTCTTGTATATGTTTAAAGCTAATCTTTTACGCAGCACAAGGTCCATTGGTGCTGGATGCGACAGGCGAACGGTGGTCTTCAAAATTAGAAAGACTCTTTCGTTGGCTAAAAACAAGCGCACGGCGTTACAATTGCTACTTGCTTGGTGAAACGTAAAGAATAATTACCATCGGTCACTCTGTTCAGATGCACGTTATCGTGTATACTAGAATCCCACGCGGCAATGGCACATACGTCTTTTTCTAAATGTCGAATTATAGGCAGATTATAAAATTTGTTTCCATGTTCCTTAGGTAGGATTGAATTTAATCCTGTCACCGATACTTCTTCTCCCGACTGATGCGTTGAGAGATCATCGGCTATAATATTTAGCCAAAGTAAATGCATTAATAAACAAATCATGCACATTGATACAACACGTTGAAAACGAGGTATTTCTTTGACAATACCATTGAGATCAAGGAATAGTACGGGAATATGCGGCTCCATCCCCGCAGGAGGAGTCCAGTCGGCAGGAGCACCAGGAATACCTGAACCCGCCGCGGGAACCAGAACGGCGTTCCGTTCCTCCGTAAGACTGACCCACTGATCCACGAGACTTTGTTCTCGCTCCATGTCTTGTTCCGTTTTGTCTGTACAAATAAGCAAACGGATATAGTAATGTACGGAAGAGACAAAGTGATAACATTATTATTAAACAGAAAAATACTGATAAATCTTTCGTTACCTTGTTTATTGATGAGTTTCTGAATTTGTTGATCAAGGTACTGTCGTCTTCTCATTAGAGCATCACTCCATTTGTCTCTCAATATACTCAAGTCCTCGTCTTGGTAGCTATCTAACGGAATTTGCAATCGGTTACGTACCGATACGCTCCCAACGGCTATGTTTAATATCGATTGGCAGATGATCGGTAAAGTTCCAGAATTTTGTACTGGTTTCACTCGAACCTGTATGCGACGTTGTTGGCCTTGCCGGAGTTGATAAATACCACCTAAAGAAATGAAGAAATGATTACTGCAAAATAGACGAGAGCCCGTGATGACGGCTTCCGAGAGACGAGTAGATTCTCACCTGTACATGTGTCTTGCTTCACTGCAACTTCAACAGATGAGTATTCCCCCTGCTCGTTGAGCTCTTGTATCTCCACCCATAGTTCAATTTTTCGCGTTAATTCGGACCAACGGTCAGCGAGCGATCTAGCTTTCGCCAATTGTTGCTGTTCCACTTCCCATCCAGGTTTACTACGTGAAAAGCCTGCGCTACGATGGCCCCATACTTCTATACTCAATGCCCCTTCTAGCAAGTAAAAAGACACGATGAGCAAGCATGAATAATATAATCGCTAGACGCGTTAAAAAAAATTAAGCACAGATAGAAGCGCAATAAATTCCTACCAGCGGCGTGTTCCATAAATTCCTCCGTAATGGCTACGGCGAAATCCCTTGTATCATCAAACTTGAACGTCAAGGAATCCCTCTGTCCAGCGGTGCAATTCGAGTTGGGTAACTCGGCATTTACCATAGGCGGAACCACTATCGGTTCTGGATGATTCCAAAACATGTATTGACAAAAGACAAAATGACTTAACGAGAGTGGTAATCCGGTGGCTTGCTTTATCGTTACACGACAGGTGATGTGGCTAGATCCTCCGGAATAATCTTCAGCTTCGGAGGACGTCGAGTCCGCGGAAGACTCCGAAGCAGCCTCGCAAATCCGATCTTGAGGAAATTGCCCGGATATGCGACTTATTTCAACCTGCAGTCGACCAGCGACTTCTCCTTGCTGACTAATAATCGGGGTATGATAATCTAACCGTACATCGTGGAATAACACTTCTAAGAAAATATTTGCAACTCCGATAAGATTGTGATTTTCTTGGGATTCGTAAAACGGATCTTGTGTTTTCCCTGGTACTTCGTCCTATAAGAAAATGAAAGTAATTTCGCTGTTGAAATACTTGAAGAATAAAAAGCATATTATACCTTAATTGCAGGTAATCGTTGACAGTTGTGAGGATCTTTTCTTTCCTCGTACATGTCTCGCATATCGACTAATTTATTTTCTAGCTTTTCCATGGACCAAACTTGACTTCCCATATTCGTCCTCTTCACTAAAATTGCGGGCTCACTGACAAACGCGCCCCGCTGAAAGAATACACTCTACATATCGAAGAGTGCGAAGAAATGAGAAAAAATAAATAAATGAACAAAGAATAAAACGTAAAATAGAAAAAAGAAAGAAAAATTAGGATAAATATAATGTGCCATTAATATTAACTGCAATATAATACGGGTGCAAGTATAATAAGTAAACCAATAAAAGAGTGATAAACTAATGACGACTAATTATACGATTATTAGAAATCAGATGACTTAGTAAATTGAAACAAGAAATTTTAAGTGCTCACAGAAAACATGATAAAAGTACGATGTTAAAACGGTATACAATCCTTCATTATTTTACCTTCCTATTCGGGCTTAGATTATTCGGAGGAATTTGCAGGGTGACGCTAAACTTGGTTTGTTTGCCCATCTCCTCGGCTAGTACATTAGCCTCTTGTACCAATGCATTAGCTTTTAGGATATCCGTCTTCAATTGACCCAAACTGCGTTTAAACATCTCATCTCGTTCTTGGGCCCACTTTTCAACGCGCATTTGCGTCGTTGGTGTGCAAGCCGGAAGCTTTCCACTTTGGCTACCTCTCAGAGGATCGTAAGGTACGTAAGGCGAATATGGTGTAGAGGGAGATAGTATATTACGCAATTGTTGAAACTGTCGTTCGTACTCTTGTCTCTGCTTCTCGAGTGCAACCTTTCAAACATGTGCGTAGTTAGTGAAAAGGTATTATTACAATGTTTGTTAAAACACATACCTGCTTATCTTCCTCGTGCTGCTTCTCCAGTCTCGCTATAGCTCTCTGAATCGGATCGTTGGAAAGTTCATTAAGCATAAGTTCTTCCCTGGCAAAGTTGTAGTCAATGTTTTGTGCAGGAGTTTGCGGCTCGCTGTTGATTGCTGCAGACGGAACAAAAATACAAATGGTACAGAGAGAGAGATTTTTACTCTCAATTACTTTGCGAAATTGATGTTTTATCTTGTAATCAATATAATACTAATAATAAAATTGAGTCGCACCTGTAGCACTTCTTGGACAGTTGACTCTGAAGAAATGATGATTTCCCCAAACGATTCTATCGCCATGCTGTAGCAGGGTCTTGTTTACAACTTGTGTACCGTTGACGAAACATCGAGCACCATTTAACGGTATCATGTACAAGCCTGATTCTTCTATCGTGATAACGCAGTGTTCCGGTAGAATACCCAAGCCGTGCAATTGAATATCCTGTTCCCTTTTGGCTGAACGACCACCTACGAGGGTCCTTTCCTGAAACACACACACACAGAGAGATGCGCGATACACGTAGAGACACGTAGAAATGGAAAGAGATATTTGGGAGAGTAAAAGTACCTTGAGGTAATAAACCAATAGTTCGTTCAAGCTTGGATCATCGTTCAAATTAACCAGATAGTACTTGCTCTTCTCTACTTGAATACCAGACGCTTGTACGCTTATTCCCATTTTTTCCAAAGCCTGCTGCCTTTCGTGTTGTAGTCTCTCGGTTTTCACCAATTTCTCTTCCCACGTCTGTGACATTTCCTTCATTAGTCGTTCCGATTGAGATAATTTTTCCGTGATGTCTGTGCGTTGTTGGCCGACAATCGATCCCTGAGCCCAATCGAAATCAAGTTGTAATCACTTAAACAATTACTTAACTATACCAGATAGGTAAGGTAACTCTTACTGTGGCATGTAACAACATTTCCTTTAAGGTTTCCACCTCTTGTCTGAGTTCGCGAATAATTCTAGCATTCGGATCCTCGTTAACGACAGCGTGATTGACTATCCTCTTTGCTCTGTCGGCATACCGTAGAGTCGAGAGCGTTTCTTCGTAATTGTCGGCAGCTGGCGATATTGTGGCTACCATGACAGTTTTGCTATTGCCACCAAGATTATCCTGAAAGTTTCCAAAGTATATATACACATGCGATAACCGATGCGAGAGCATCTATCTTAAAGCGTCCTGTTACAAACGTGAAAAGTAACGTACCTTCAAGAGCCACGTAAGAACAGAATCTCTATAGGGCACAAAATTGTCCTTTTTCTTATTGCTGCCGGAATTTTGATCCGCCAACTTTGAAATGACTAGACCCAACGTCGTTAAAGACCTAGAAATCGACGCTTATTACCGCGATGTTGACGCAAACGGAAGATAAGAAGACTACGGGCGTAGAAAGGTAATTACTTGTTAATATTGCTTCCTTCTTTAAGTCTATCACCCACTGCTCCAGTTTTCACAGCCCTTTCGCTCCCAGCTAAATCTACCAAACTCATCCGCGAGACCTTTTCCCCGCTGACCCCGCTCTTCGAGTCCGTTAGAGTCTGCGTGAGAATCACCGAGAATACAGCGTGCGAACGAGAGCTCTCGGAGTTCATGTTTGTCGCTGCGACCGTTCGCGATTTGTTGCCCTCCGCCATGAGGTTGTCAATGTCCTAGAGTTAAACGTTTCGCCAATAAAGGGGAATTGCTGCGACAGCGAGAGAAAGGAGGGGGGAAGAAGGGTCACCTGGAAAGAAGTAACCGCCAGCTGACTCAGCCCGTCGACGTAGGGCCCCAAGACATTGTGCTCTCGGACCTTGAGCGATTGCTTGTTTGGCTTCGGATCCAGAAGATCGTGCACTTTTTCATTATAGATCTCCATGTACGAGACTTCGACTTTGTAAGTGAGCTCCGAACTTTGTTGCTTCGCTATCAAGTCAAAGAGATTGTCGCACAATCGTGGTATTATCCCTTTGTTGTCGCCACTGCCCATCATCGTGTAAGACTTGCCAGAGCCTGTAAGGGCAAGCCATGCATTTCTCTTCCCTTTGCAAATGTTTTGTAATAACGCGATTACATTTTGGCAGAAAAATCAAAGTTTCGATACTGTGCGCGTGTGTGTCGTGCGTATCGACGCGGGGAGAGCTTATTATTGTCTCGCTCTGCCTCATGGGTCAATGTCTTGCTCCGTGGCCGCTTTGCGGTGACGACCGAGCCGATTAATCGCGTTATTTGCCGCGTTACGTTGATCCGTTCATGCTGCGCTCATTAATCCTATCCTTTCTAACGCGTATAACAGGCGTCTCTCGACGCGGATATGTCATACCGGTTTGTCCGTATGCGAATATACAGGCGTTGTAACCCTGAAACGCATTGTCCAAAATGTCACGACCCAGGGCGTCGAAGACGACATCTTGACTCGCAAAAGCGTCCAGTCCAGGATCCAGGGAATAAAAGCAGTGATCGAAAGCGAAAGTCTTGGGCTTGTTCCTGCAATTTTCATTAGGATTTCAATTTGCATGTATGTTGACAGACAAATAATGATTACTGATACATTAGCTAATTCGGCTGATCGAAGCACCTCGGCAGCGAGTTTCAGACACCGTCGCGAAAGATGGTCAACTGCGCGGTGCAGGACTTGCCGACTTGGTAGCCGAGCGCTCGATCGCGTGAGACGACGAGATCGCTCCTTGGAGATTAGGATACACGAGTGGCCTTCGACACGCGAAACAACAGGCTCTGCGATCTCAGCAATGTTGCGCGTGGGTTTACCACGTGGGCCACGCCACGTGGTCTTCTTCAAGTAGCTCGATCGTTACCGTAAGACGGGAAACATAGGTGCTTTGGAAAAAATGTCAAAAGGCAACGCAATCAGAGTGACGAAAGTACCTCGGCGCGCAGCGTGCGCGCACGCGAGTCGCAGTGGTCAAGTCAAAGACATTGACTTGCATCGATCGTATTTAGCTCCAGTTTCACTCAACGACGATCGATAGATGACGATATTCCGTCTCTACGCAGCGCTCGAGCATTACGGATTAAGTATAGTAGGCCGAGTGTATATCCGCGTGATACTCGGGTTATTGCACGTTACTGTACGAACGATGCAAAAGCGCCGAGGACAAAGGCGCGATTTTAGCTTCATCTGTCATCACGTGGCCATGAAATGAAAGAAAGATGTAGGAAAATCTCCCTTTGTGTGTTAATTCAAGTCGGCACCGGGATTTCCTGACCATGGATAGGGGGACGCATTCAGCGTCAAGTTATTCGGCCGTTTCGCCGCAAGCTGAAAGACTTGATCGCTTTACGGACCGGAGAGAAACGAAAATAACTTGGTCTAACCGCGCGGCAGAATTCGCCCAAGTACTTGGCATTCTCGAGGCTGCATTTGCAAATGATATCCTATGTATGTTGCATCCATTTCTACCGGACAATGGCTTTTATCCAACTGATTGGTGCAACGGACGTTTCCAATGTGCGCGATTCGTAATCGTTTTGTTTCGTACCAAATGCCTACGTAGAGGTAAATCGATTTCAATTATGTCAATATATACGGTATACCGTATACGAGGACGTATCCTCTTTTTGCTTTGTCGCATTCACTAATGTATGAAAGTAGCATATCGAGCGTGACCGATCCAAACGAAAAGCTCCCATTTTTTCTCCCCCCTCGCGCCAACTAACACACCTGCGTGTGTGGTCGACAACCCGTTGCGCAACAGCCAAGGTATACAGATTTCCTGACCTATATTCCTATATTCCCACGGCGTGTTCTTACGCCACTAGAAATCGAGTCTTGATTCCAAATTCGCCACGTTTCTATTAACGCAAGCTGGTCACGCATGAGACACAAGTTGGTCTCTTCGGGAGAAAATAGGGAAGAGACAACGGAACAAGTGCGGTGAAAAGAGCATAGATTGCTAATTGCTACTTGAGGTGATATCGATTAAGAGGCAGAGAGTAGCAGGTATTTTGAAAAGGGATATACATACATTTTCCGCGCTAGTTAATATTCCTATTTATGTCACATTAACTTTATGCATAGAGTCTACAGCTTCGAAATAACGTAGTTGGAACGTTCTTACTAGGCTATAATATCCTACCGGCGTATAAAAGCAGGTGTTTAATACGTTCCAGATGGATAGATACGCAAGGACGAGGCGAAGACCTTGGTGCGATGGTGATTCCATTCTTCATGCACATTCACGTTGACGAAGAAATCTTTAATGTCGGTCAATTACGATTATAATAATAATGATGTGTCAAAATTTCATGGAGGCAAGTGTGTGATTAAGAGGCTGCATACACTAGTACTTTTCCAACTACCGAGTAGAGTTCGCTCTACTTTTCATATCTTACAGTACTTGACACGCGTGTCAACTCGCTCTGGTCTTCTCTCAAACGTATAGCGCGAGCCCCTGTCCTCGACTCTAGGAAACTGATCGATCGCGTCTCGCGTCTCGCGCCTCGTATCTCTCTGGATCCCCCTCACGAGTCTGGGTGCTTTTCTACACTGAGAATCGAAAAACAGTAATAGTCCCTGAATTTTTGCTCACTCTCAACTTTTAATCTTAATACGCAAATGCTTACTTAAAAAAAAGTAATGTCCGCTGAAAAATACAATAAACGACTAAAGTTGTAAGCGATATTGTATTAAAGAAAACATGATTACTGAACAATTTTATTATTGAGTGATGTGCAATTCCGTAACCATTACTGTTGACCACCAGCATTAAAATAATATGTAAATCATATGTAGCCTAACAGTAGGGTAGAAAAAACATATATAAATAGTTAGCTCAGCGTTAGCGTACTAGGCTAGTAATCCGAAATCTTAGGTTCGAATCCCACATATAAAAGAATTAGGGAAAAAACTATTGGAAAAGTTTTTTTATTTTCAATAAAATCTTGTACCAAAACCATTACTGGTTTTTATCGTAATGATTGTGGAAATACAGTACTGATTCAATACTGGATTAGTAAGTAACAGTCAATCAGTTGATCTACAATATTCATTACTGTAGAATCCGTAATAGTTATTGTAAAATCCGTACTGATTACTGGGAGAATGCTTACTATAGTGGTACGTAATGGTTACTGTAAGAAAGACTAAAAGTTAAAAACGAGGAAAAATGTTATAACCATCACTGTTTTTCAGTTCTCAGTACTTGGATGAAGCAAAGTCGAATTTCATCTCATTGGGCAACACTTGGAAAGAATGTAACGTGTACGAATGGATGAGAACAACTCGTAAAAAGTTGGAGACAGCTCGCGAGAACAGAGATGAAAGCATCGAAAATGCCGTTGGCACGTTTCCACGCAAGGACTTGCAGCTAGGTATGCTCCATCGAGCATATCCAAGTAATAAAGGCGACGTTATTGGCACGATACCGCCATAAACGCCCAAGTACGTGTAACAAAATTCAACAACGCGAAAAAGATATCGAAATTAATTGAGCCAATCACAGACAAACAGATAAATGGAAATATTCAAGATGGTTGGGGAAAAGAAAAGTAAATATCTGTTATCGATGAATAATCCGATAATCACGTCGTGATAAGTTGAAATCGTAGAGAACTCGGGTGTGTCCGGTTCGTACGTAGGTGTGGGAAACGAGGAAGGAGATAAAAAGCAACGTTCTATCGGTATTGCAGGATGCAACAACCGATTAGTTGTGGTACTTGACATTTCTTTCATAATATAATTACCAACTACAAGTACTACGATATGATTGTTCAGTTCAGTTCAGTTGAGTTTTTCATGGGAAATATCATCGCTGCATTGCGAGGCGACCATCTCGGAAAAGACTCATTCATCTCTCATTTTCGCTTTCACGTTTCAATCTGCGTGCGACATCGATACGCGTGGACGAAATAGAATTTTATCGATTTCGATCATACGAGATATACGCCGCGACCTTTTATCGATTCAGCGGCACGTGCGTAACTCGCGCATAGAACGCGCCGTTACATCACCTGAAGCAAAGAGAGAAGGAATAAAAATCCGCGTATAAAGAACAAAAGTCGCGAGTTTTCCCTACATACATAAGACGATATCGCCATCGCGAGTCATCGTGTCGTAAAAATAGCGTGACATTTCATCGATCGTGTAATACACTCGTAAAAACGTCGCGCGCGACTCTGGCAACACGAAACATAGATTCGCAAAATTCAATTTCGAGCCCTTGTACGCGTGAGGTGTGTATGTCTGTCGGAAGACAGAGTAAAGCGACGCGGACAGTTTTCATCACCTCATTCAGTAGACTCGATTGAGCTGTATCCGAGTTTACATATCATCAAGATACAAGTCTGGTAAACACAGCGATTCGGATTTATTTAACGCTATGCCAAAGTGTCGTATCCACTCGCCGAGTGACGGAGAAACGACAATGTTATCTGCGAAACGCGATAAGGATATATGCTTTAATTATCTGGCGCGAACACGCTATCGACGTTATCAAATAGTAGACTTTTGTGATATGAAAAGTCTTTTTTCACCAAACATTTTCTTTAAAATAACATCGTACGCTACGCTGCTCGTTGAATCGAGTACGTTGCACCCCTCGACGATATATCTGCTGGCCATTATAGAAATAAAATATCATACGGGAAACAATCGTGGACACAGAAGCCCTGATGACAGCGAGCCTGAGAACGTGACCCAAGCAAGTAAGAAAAAAATTGCTCACCGATCGATCTTGTCCATCGTGGTGGGATGGTGCAAGATAGTTTGTTGGCCGGTCATCTCGACGACGCATTGCGTACAGAGTTCCAGCTCTGTAACGAGAAAAAAAGATCACTTTAATCAACGATCTAGCTTACTGACAACTTTTAAGAACGAAGCTCTCAATATTCAATCCCCGATACGATACGCCAGCCTCACAAGCATTGTTTTTCATTTTGGAAAAATTGCTGAAAAATTGTATCAAATTGATCAGCCTAGTTAATCAGTTGCATACACAACGAAACGATCCACTGCAGTTATCAAGTTTTGGTAATATTGTAAAATGAGGCTGTGCTATTATATCAATCATAATTATATCGACTGGAATGGTATCGATTACATTTATCGTCAAAGGAAAAGACAAGCGTGAAAAAAATTGCAGAGATAAATAATAATTAAGTTGAATTAGTCGCACTGTTTCTTATAAAGATACCATCTTTTTTCTCTCATTCTTTGAACAAAAAAAAAGCGCTGAGAGAGATCCGATTCTTTTCTCGATATCGTAGGATAAACGCGCCAGTAGCGAGATCCTTCCGAATCGACAGTTGTCAAATAGCTGATAGATCAGAGACACAAACTCAACAAGTATAAAAGACTTTTCACTTTCGTGCGCACAGACGAGATACGAAAGCTCTTTCTCATTTATCTCTCAACTATGTATATAAAGTCTACGTAAGAATATCGTAATTTCCTCTACTTTTCAATTGTCAAGCTGAAATACTTGTGTGAAAATGAAAGTGCAGTGCTTGTTTCTCGTCAAAATAGTCTTCTAATCGGGTCAGTTTACTCTAGAGACCGTTTCTCTCTCTCTGTGCACTTTCTCCAATAAATTTCTCGATGTCGTTGCAGCATTATCTCACGCGAGATAAAATAATTTGGACGATACAGAGCGATCTCGCCAAGGATCAAAGCGACGGCTCAATTACATTCGCTTGATATAAGATACAATATGAAATCGTTATGGAAGGCTCTGCGGTTACGGATCGGTTAAGAAAGGGGATGATGACTCATAAAAGTAGGTAGAAAGCAAATGGCAATAGCTTCTTTGTACGCCCAAGCGCGACGTTACATGCTGTAACAAGTTGACAAGTACATCGAACGTCGCTTTAAGAAAGTGCTAGGGCAATGCTTGATATTTGCAGTTTGCAATTGCGCCTTCTATCTCGGGAGAGGGTGAAGAAGACGACTCGAAAGTGCCCGACTTTCTAGAAAACAAGTATCAATTACTAGACTTTTCACGTCGACTTTGTCATTATTACTTTCAACGTAAACGTATACACGTAGTTGTAATTTACGCAACGTCATTTACAAATAATTCTAGACTCTAGCAGAATATCGCCAAGAAGAGACACCTGCGAAAAGTTACAAATTCGATAGTTGCTGTTAAACGCTACGTTGCGTCGTGTAAATTAAATCTTACAAGCGCGAAAGTTTGACATGTTAACATGCGGAAAAGAGAGGGAAAATTATGCAACCTTATCGTGTGGAGAATCGCGTTTTCGCTCCTCGCCACGTTGGCTTCGTTAAAAAAAAACTCGACTCGATTCGCAGGTGTTACGCAGATGACACAATGACGTACAAGTTATTATTCCGGATAATAACAAAGGCGCGCGCGCACACGTGTAATTTCGAGAGGGAATCTGACAATGAATCGAACGCGTCGCGTAAGCGCTAAACTGTTTGACGACCTATTGGAAAATCCTCTTTCCGGTTACGTCAACGCGAGCAACGATCCTCGACCTTGCGCCATTGGAGAAGGAATCCTCGATCGAAGATATCCCACGTTTCTCCGATCGGATCGATATTCCAAGGTCGTCGGACTAATGTCACTCGGTTGCGCGACAGCGAGCTCTCGCGCCGTGTCAAAAGATGCATTTTTTCTACGTCTTCCATTTCGTTACGTTTATTGGCAAATGTGTAAACGTCAAGTATCATGTTGCTCGCGACACCATCGATGACTGACGATGAGATGACGAGAGAGAGTGGCAGCTCGCGGGCCCCGCGCGACAGAATCGAAGCTCAATTGGCACAAAACGAGGCGAGGCGAAAACATAGGCGACGCGAGGCGAGGCGAGGCGACGCGACGCGAGACGGGACGGAACGAGATGCGAGGCGGGGCGAAGCTCCATTGGAGGCAGTAAAGCGACGAGTATACATACCTCTGCGATTAAACGGCCGGACCCGTACGGCAACCTTTATTTTATCCGTAGCCATGACTTTTGCACACCGGTAACGCGCGCACTCGCTATCACACGATATCACGATAAACCGTTCGGCGCGATTACACCTGCACGTGATTACGTCTACTCTCGCACGATTCGTACATTATTCCCCGCTACATTATTCTCAACCCATACCGCGAACCTGTCATCCTAGGAACGACACTGCGTCTACACCGAGCCTCCCGTGACACACTTCGCCATATTGCTTCGAGCCTGTCGTCGGCGCTAGACAACGACAGTCATCCAGGCTATCGAGGCTATCGAATGAGCGTGTTTTCCACGATTGCCGTTAGGAACGCTCGCGATCTCATTCGCGAATGACGTCACGCTTTCAACCCAGCGTCTATGTAGCGGTCGAAGCTCTCACCAGCCAGCAGGGCGCACTTTCATGTCTTTCACCGGATTCTCTTCTATGAAACGAGTTTTCTTCGACATGTAGGTTATGTCGAGCGTATACTGTTTTGGCGGTAATACGACTAATATGTGCAATTGCAGCCACGCATATGTCATTTCCATGCGGTTAGTACGTAAAAAGAAACCATTTTAAAGCACTTGGGAAAATTAATATTACATTTGCAGGTACTTGTAAACATGATTGTTAAATTGGAAAAGGTGATAAACTGTTCCTCGGAACATCCATTGTATCCTGCCGCCAATCTTCTTCAATGTAATTCAGAAAATTGGAAAGCTACATGGCGATGTAGCAAACCAGGAGAAATGCTGGCACACGTCATCTTCCAGCTTGCCGAGCCTTCTTACATCACGGGAGTCGATATCGGCAATTACCAGAGCTGCGTGGTGATTATCACTGGTTCGACGTCCGCGGAACCTGACAATTGGACAGTTATCGTCAACCACAAATTTATGACCAACGATGAAGCTGCAAACAATAAGTTTAAGGATCAAGTTCAATTATTTACTAAAAGAGAATTGAATCCAGACACCTTGAAGAGTAAATTTGATCGAATCAAAGTTACGTGCATGCAATCGGCCAATTTGAAGGTGTTGTTTGGATTGTCATATGTCATTTTAAGGTCAGACCCCACGATTGATTTAGGCTTGGATGCGTTTGGCAAGTTTAAATTGAAACAGCCATATGTCGTCAAGACACCCATGGAAATGATGAAGGAAAAAATCCTTAGCAAGGCAGAAAGTACAAAGACAGATTACAGGAAAGAGTTACGCGAGCAGATAAAAAAAGATTCGATGGAGAATTTTGTCAAATGTCAAGAGGTACAAAAGCCTGTTAAGAGGCCGTTGTTGGAAAAATTGGAAGCTGGAGAAGCCGATCAAGTCTTTGGGAAAAACGATAAGACCCAGTCACAAAGTACTAAGGATAAAGATAAAACACTTGATAAAACTCGGAAAAATACCGAAAATGTATCAAATGATAAAGTGGCGAGAACTCCTTTTGGAGATGTTGTGCCTTTGCGAAACGTTGATACTAACAAAAACAATACCACTCAGAGTCCTTCGACATCTAAGAAACGTTCTTTAATCGAATTGGAGGATTGGCCAAACGCAAAACTCGGTGAAAAAAAGAAACAGAAGTGCTCCGAATGTTGTACAGTCTCGCAAGATCGACCATGTACAAATTGTCAAAGATTGCCTCGGCCCAAAGACATGGAGACTGCTCCTTTGAAAGCAAACGACAACGTTCCTGTAAAAGTGAAGAAACCGTTCAAACAATTGTTCAATGACGTTACATTCTCTCTCAGCGGTTATGTTAATCCACAGAGAGACGATATTAGAAGGAAGGCTCTTAGCATGGGTGCCAGATATATTCCTGATCCAAATACAACTAATAACAAATGCACTCATTTGATATGTGCTTTTAAAAATACACCGAAATACCAACAATTCAAAAATCATACGAAAATTGTTTCTCACGCTTTTATCGAGGAATGTTTTGATAAAAAGAAAAGGTAATATGTATTACTTTTATTGGAGACTGAGAAATTATAAATATGTAAAGAGAGAGTTTAGTAAATTATGTATTTTACAGATTTTCTTGGAGGCGATACGCTTTAAACCAAAAAGACAAATTGCAGCCTGAGAGCGAAGAAGAAAGTGATGAAACAGAATCTGTATATGATATGGACACTGATGCCGATTCAGATTATTAATATTTCAGTCAAACTGTATTAATTATATTGATATTGATATTAATGTGCGCGCGTACGCAATTAACCTCTTAATATTTATACTTATGACAACCGTTATATAATTAACATTTCTTTAAATTCTTAACAAATATATATTTTTTGTACATAGACACGCGCACACCTGTACGCGCGTAATTAATACCAATTTTCGTAATACTATTTACAAATTGTGTGTACAAAGGAGAAAAAAGATTACATTGAAAATCGGAAGAAGAAACAACGGCAATTAAAGGGTTTTATTAATACAATAAAAAGTATTTCTCCAACTTGGTAAAGCTAAATTATTGACAATTAAATAGTGAAATTGAATATACATACATATATATATATACATAATTAAAGATCAACGTCACACATGTGTCTAATCAACTTATTTTTAATTATATTAAATGTAAATATAACGCGCTGTGTAACATGCATTTATTTTAATAATTTAATGGGAGCTTTAAATTCTGAACATATTGTCTCGTCCCCACCACGCGTCGTTAAGTCTATCACACAACGGTATGAAAGGTAAATCCTTTAGCCCGGGTCTACAATAGGTGTAGTAAGCCTTAAGTCGTAAAAAATTGACCAGTCACAGTCTGAAGTGAGGAGAATAATCGCTTGTGATTGATCAAGACCCGGGGGCTTACACTTATCTCTTATAATACAATTCCAAGAAATATCAAGCCCTTCAATTAATTTTCAATAAAGTTAAACGAAATTTTTTCTCTGAGAATTTTCCTTTAGTTTTATTTAAAATTAATTCAGGGACTTGATAGTCCTGGGAATTATATCTGCTAAAATATATAAATATTATATCTCCAAACGTGGAAGATATACGGAAAAACAAGTTGTTTGGTTCCAAGGAGGACATAAGGTGGTGCCGCATTGACTTGACCCTGAGTATTGAAAGTCACGTGAAGGTCACCTTTAATTTTTTTAATGGGTCCTCTAGTGCTTATTATTTGGACGCTTCTCGAAAAGTCCAGCACGCGTAGTTGATGAATTGGCCGTTGGACCAAACTGCGAACAGCGCCCATGAAATGCGACCACGTTTTAGCCTACCCCCACCACTGATTTAAGCAAGAGTTGCTAGTCTCTAGTCTTCTTGACCATGACGAAATGACTAGTTGCCCCCCCCCTCCTTCCCTCCTCCTCCTCCTCCTCCTCGACCCCTTCACGCGCTCCCATCATATTCATTATTTATCGTAATTAGCCTCGCCGAGAGAATCGACAAGTTATAGCTCGAGGGGTCCCCCTGTAGCAGCGTTACATTGCAACTTTTTCTCTTGCGACACGAGAAAAAGAGGATATCATTTTGTTCTCTTTTACAAATACGTTCAATCTGATGACGCTTACACTTGGTGTCGCGGGTGCTGTGTGCCACATCGCATAACCTCCACCAAGTGGTGCGCGACAGCAATTTTTTAAATCGTATTCTTTGCTCTCCTGTGTAGATATTCCTAGTTTTGCAAAGCATCCAACAATGGCAGGTTGCTACGACAAGCTGTCCTGGACAGGTGAGTATTTCCGCGGCTTTCCACCGCGTGTGACATGTTAATGCGTTAACGTGTCACGTCCTGTTTGTTCCTAAAGTCAATTATTAATGCTAACGTTGATAATAACGAGATATAAATATGATGGATATTTAAAAAGAAGTGGAGTAATTTCATTTTAAGACAATTTTACAAAGAATTACATCATTGTTGAGTAAAAATTCTATCGGTGTGCTTCAATTTGATATTTCGGTGTGTGCATACTGCATATGGTTTATTTAATTTAAGTAAAATATTTTCAAGTTTAAATGACGTATTTTCTATTACTACACGAATTTACTTTGGTTTAAAGCATAAGAAGAATGTAAAATCAGTATTATTATTTTAGGATCAACAGCTGCGTTCAGCAGAAAAACTATTTCTGACGGACACAGCCAATGACATTGCGATAGAAAATTAGTTTGACAATGAGAGTTTGATGATAACTTTCACTTGTAATTTTACAGAAGTGCGGGATTTACTGAGAACTTGGAGAGAAGATTCCGAGCGACGAAGTAAAGATGTAGTAGACTTTTGGGAAAATACATTGATGGGAAAGGTCGATGGTTTGGGCAATGAAAGTATTTATCGATCAGTCTTTTTTTTATCTTCATCTTCTTCAAACTATCGAAAGTTGTAAATCATATGAAATTTGATCTTTCAGAGTATTTGGTTCTGGAACAAGTGTGTGTCGCCGCATTGGATTGTTATCGATTACCATTAGCTGAATACTGCATAAAAATTTTAATGCGCGCCTTCCCTGGCAGTTTACGCGTTCACAAGTACCACGCTATGCATTTAGAAGCTTTAGAAATGTAATTTTACAACAAGTCATTAAGCATACGTGCAAATATATAGTAATATTTGTTGTTTATATCTATATTTTGTTCAGGTACGATGAGGCAATGGAAGTTTTGGATTCTATTATAAAGAGAGATGAGACCAATGCCGCACCGAGGAAACGTCGCGTCGCTATTTTGAAAGCTCAGGGACGTACACCAGAAGCAATCAAGGAGCTTACAGAATATCTGAAAAGGTTGGTGATGTATATTATTTTAGTTTTCGAACGCTTACATATTGTGAAATAATTTAATAATTTTCTACAAGTTACAAAATATAATTGTAATTATTTAGATTTATGAGCGATCAAGAAGCATGGCATGAGCTGTGTGACCTATATTTGCAAGAACAGGAATATTCCAAAGCAGCTTATTGCATGGAAGAACTTATATTACATAATCCACACAGTCATTTAATTTACCAAAGATATGCAGAAATAAAATATTCTCAGGTAATACATATACATAGGATTTGAACATTTTTATGATGATAGCAATCATTAATTTATGTTGATTAGCAAAAAAAAGTGTAACATTAACTTACTAAATTAATATAAATTATGTTTTGTTATATAGGGTGGATTTGATAACATGGAACTAGCAAAAGCCTATTTCTGCCAAGCTGCAAAATTAAATCCAAATAATATTAGAGCTCTATATGGCTTGTTATTAGTAAGTTTCACTGTTGCATTAATGCAGTGTAACAATTATATATGTATATTTCATACATTTTTGTAAAAAATCTAATTTCAGACAACAAATAACATTGCGACATCGGCTAAATGCCCTTCATCTAAGAAGAAGGAAGCATTGAAATTGAGTGAATGGGCTAGTAAAGAAATTGAAAAACAATATGAAAGTAAAGTTTCAAACAGGGACCTGAAAAACGTAGAACGTTTACTAGGACACTTGCAACTTGAAGCTTAGGTATTGTTATTTCACGATTCTTATACTTAATTTTAATTTTGTGAGAGACATTTATGTATGCATAAGTGATACGACATATTCAACATATTCAAAGACGTTACAATATAGATTTCCGAAGAACATACCGAACGTGAAAAACTTTAAATACGTTTTTTAACTCTGTGTAGTTAAAAAAGTAAGAAAATGAGCAGTATTTTTTTCTTATTGTAATCTTCATTCTGTAACATATGTACATCACGCTCTAGATAATTTTGTCTTGTTCCAGATATTTTTGCCAATGTCCATGTACAATTGTATATGTTGATATATTAGTTAATTAATCTATTAGTACCGTTGTCTAATTTAAGTGCACGATACGTAATTACTTTCTGAATACATTCGTATTTCCGTACCCTACTGTATACATATGTATATTATGTTATTAAGTAAATGTTGTCACTCCTTCGACTCCCTGTAACTGATTCAGTATCAATTATCTCATTGTTAATCAAGTCGGTTATGTCTTACATATTAATGCAATAAAAACAGCATGGATGGATATAGGATATATCATGCGTGCAAAAAATATTTATTTCTAAATCGTTGCAATAGTTTGCTTTGTTTCCAACTTTGACTATTCTGTACATAATAACAAGAATTGCAAAATGAAATAGCCACATTTTGATAAATAATTTTGAATAATTATATATCCTCACGCGCAATGACAGTAAGAGTTATAAAGTTAAAAAAAAAGAGGTTTCTGTTGTCTTTCATATAATACTATATGCGAGGCTCCACAGTCATCTTTCGGTAACTTCCTTGTTACTACGTTCCCACTCCTCTCGGTTCTTTGCTCTTTCCGCAGCTTTCCTCATTCGTTTCTCCTTCCTCGTTTCCTCGCGCAATGCAAAATACTTTTCACGGAAATCAATTAAATTCATGGTAACGCTCTCATCAGTTGCCTGTCACAAAATCGAAGGATATTTTATATAATTTAATCACATCCCAGTTTTAATAAAAATGTGCATAATTCCATGTAAGCGTAAAAAAAATTTATTAGGCACCAAAATGATCTCGACCATATATGTAGGCGTTTTCATTATTACTTGTGTTAATAAAATGTTGTTATAGTTGATATATGTACCTCTGGCTCTTTAACTTTCTTATAAGTTAATAATCTCCTACTAGTGTAGTTGCTCAACACTTGCTCGGAATTAGCTATCAGCTCTAAACAAGAATGCGCTGGTAACTGATCCTCCGTGTATTGGTCTCTAAAAACAAAATATTGACAATATTTATCGACTAATCGATTACGCGTATAAATATTAAATGAATATCTATGTACCTAAACAATGGATACCAACAGACTAATCTGCCCTCAAGTCTCAGATGTCTCGCAGAGAAACACAGCAAGTCATTATATATTTCATTCAGGCCATAAACAATCTTTGAAGGAATATGAGAAGTCGCTTGATGTTCCTCAATGACCGGATTGATTTTCATAGTACCTATACGCTCTGTGGCTTCCCTTATACCATAAGGCGCTGTAAAAGAGATGTTTCTGCTCTGACATGAAATTCTTAAAAGCCATAATCTGTATTCGATGGTTTTATGCAATATTTATACTGACGATCCGTTACGATAGCATCTATTCTTAAGTCTGCCCGCCACAGTGGATAGGAGAAATCTGCCACCACGACGTCGAGATAATGAGAGCTCATTCCATATTGACGCATGTTAGCAGCGATACTCTCATCTTTTTCCCTCGTCTAATATATTCAATGCGAATAATTATTCAACGAATTTTGTTTGTTTACGACGGTATAGAGAAATACCTTTTGCGATATCCGTGTAGGTCTCGTACGGCCGTGAAGCATTAAAAAGTCGATGTCTGTTCCGAATGTGTATCCTCCAAAATGCGATGCGGCAATTAACAAGGAGCCCGTCCCCACGAACGGATCGAAAATTAGGTCTCCGTTCCTAATTTGTGCTTGATTTGCCATTATCAGCGACAGCTGGGGATCCATTGACGTATTTCCTATAAATTTCCTAGTTTTTAGTGACAACTTTTGAATTAACTCTCGCTGACCATCGGCAATCTATAATAAAATGGTATTACAGCCAATAAATAATGACAGATACGCAATTACATTACTCACCCATCTTCCGAAGAAATATTCATGAGGTTCTTCAGGAATGTTGTTGGGGTTAAGTCCGTAATATTCGATGTAACATAGAGTGATGTCTGGATTTTTCAACTTGACTGGTCCTTCAAGAGGTAGATAACTGAAAGACTTGGAGCCCCAGCATTGCATCAAATTAGGAATCAAATGTTGGAATGGATGCTAAGATCAACAACTTACCTCGATTTTATTTATCTTCTCACGTTGGGAGAAATGTCTGCAGAAAGTCTCCACTACGATCTTAAACGATTTACCCTTATTTCTGGCCATAGCCTCCGAATCTTTGACCAAGTAAGCTTTCAGAGAACCGTGCAAGTCCTCGTTTCGTTTATCTTGTGCCCAGAGCTCCAAACAGAAGCGTAACGAGACTGCTCTATTAGCAACTTGACGCACTAGATTCTCGTCAGGTAAAGCCACGATCCAATAAGGCTGAGAAAAAATATAAATTGCAACAAGAACAAACTGCCAAGCTTTAGTACGTATGTCTAAACTATGTTACATATTATCACACAAATGCTTAATAATGTTGACGTTTCCTCACATGTTCCTTCGACCTCGTCATTGCACATGGATTAATGTTAAACATGTCAAATATAGATTCCATTTCCTGGAAAATACAACAAGTGTAAAACGATATATAAAGTACATATTTATTAGAAAGATTTCAAGTAAGTTTTCTCTAAACTTAGCACTTGAAAACATTCTTCTGTAGATATGTAGACGATCTCGTTAAGCTTGAGAAAAAAGTACTCACGGCCAGCCGGAAGTCAACATGCTCATGAGCGAACCAAAAGAGATATCTTTTCAGGTCATTGCTCATTTTCAACATTACTCTTTTAATATCGCACAAACTGTCACATCAAGTTAAACGCTGTGCGCGGGGTATGTGTTGCTGTTGATGGCAAGCTAACCTAACCTAACCCTAGCCTAACCTAACGTAACTTGAGCCGACCGCACGTTGAACCAGTGACGATTAGAAAGTTGACAATTTCTGGGGCTCGATTTTCCAGAAACATATGCGCACTAATTTAAATACACATATATAGAGAAAATTGTGCGTGTGTGTGTGTGTGTGCACGGATTTCATGTATTTTTCACATAAAAACAGGTGCCATTTAAATAAGAGAAGAGTACGCACATTGATTGGCCGACGTGTGATTTATAGGTTAGCCCCTAGCGATTGTTGAGAGGCACACTCTTTTTGCCTTTGCAGTACAAGCTACAATTGTCGCATTCCCGAAGGATGCTACGAACATTTCAGAGACAGATCCTCCGAAACGTACGGGGCGGCAGGAGATTGAACACATGGTCCCCCCTCGCCACGGCATTCAATTCTACCGTTAACGATGAGACTCATCCGGCGAGTGTATTGGAAAAGGAAACGGTAAGTCTCGGAGAGGTTGAGTCTAGTTTTAAGATCAAATAGACTTTTCAGTCTAATGTATAGTCATGTCTGATCGCTTAAAAAGGGACTGTTTGGCATTCCGGAGCTAAAAACTGAGAATGGCTTCGATATATTGAAAGATCGTGCATTGGCAGACGTCGACGTTCTCATCGAGGAAGCGACGAGCGAGGATAGAAGGAGAAAAATGGTTGAGATATTTGACCAATTATCCAACACGCTATGTAAGGTGGCGGATATGGCAGAGTTCATTAGAATTGCTCATCCTGATCAACGATACGTTCGAGCCGCCGAGAACGCTTGTATAACTATTAGTGGCGTAGTCGAAAAGTGAGTTTACTTTTCAACTTGTCTAATTAATCGTCTTGTGTGGATTTCAAAGATGTGTGACATTACATAGGCTGCGACAATGATGTGTGTTAATTAGACGTTTTGCAGATTGAACACGCATCGTCAGCTGTACGATTCGCTAAAACACGTGACAAGTAACGGCGATACTCGAGTAACATCCGATATAGACGATCATGTAGCCAAATTATTCCTATTTGACTTTGAGCAATGTGGCATACACTTGCCTGAAGGGCAAAGGAGAAGAGTGGTCGAGCTAAACGATTATATTCTGCAAGTAAATATTTCTATACCTATATTATTAGTTAGCAATGGTGAAATCCATAAATGTCCCCTCCGAACCCCTTAGGTAGGTCAAAAGTTTATGGCTGGCGCCGTTACCCCGAGGACAGTTAATGCCGACATGTTGCCCGACGTTATCAGGCAGCAGTAAGTGCGTTTCTTTGAAACTTTTCAAAGGTATAAGCTTTAGAAAGGTACTATCCTCGTTGATATCGGCTACGTTTCACAGTTTTGTTACAGAGAACGGTCAGATATCAGTGCAAGGATTTTACACAGACTCTTCCAACACTACTGTCCGCGAAGCGGCATACAAACTGTTTTTATTCCCGGATAAAGAACAAGAATATCTGCTGCACCAACTCTTGTACTCGAGGCATTTGCTGGCGGAATCTTGCGGATTTGCCTCGTATGCATACAGGTAATTTTAATCCAAGCGTCGAGCATTTTTCAAACGAAAACGAGCAAGTAACTTGGAAATTGATTGTTAGAGCTGTGAAAGGGAGTACAGTCGAATCGCCAGTCGTAGTGAAGGAATTTCTCGACATATTAAATGACACTTTGCAGCCTAAAGCAGCACAAGATTTTCAAGTAATGCAAAACATGAAAGATGCCGAGTCGCGTATAAAACAAGTTTGTAGCCATATTATATATATATCTTCATTTCTACTGTACAACTCTAAAACTCTATATTTTGGAATTGTCAAACAGGAGTTAATGCCATGGGATACTCCCTACTTCATGGCGAAGGCAAAAAAAGCTTGGTTAAACACTTCTACCACCGAGTTTGCTCCATACTTCTCTCTTGGTGCTTGCATGGAAGGTTTAAGTTTCCTTACACAGTCACTGTACAGAGTTAAACTCGAATCAGTCCCAGTATTATCCGGAGAAGTGTGGGCGAATAATGTTCACAAATTAGCTGTGATAGATGAGGAGGAAGGAACTTTGGGTTATATCTACTGCGATTTCTATGAAAGAGCAGGAAAGCCTAATCAAGACTGCCATTTTACAATCCAAGGTGGAAAGCAACTTTCAGATGGCTCTTATCAGGTATAACCTTGTTGTATATATTATTTTTCTTTCATCTATGTATCCATCCATTTTCGTACAATTGCATATAATTGCAGAAATTATGACACTTTTGTAATCAATTTTAGATTCCCATAGTTGTACTTATGCTATCATTGCCACAACCACGCTGGTCAAATCCATGCTTATTGAGTCCATCCTCTGTAGACAATTTATTTCATGAAATGGGACATGCGTTACACTCTATGCTCGGTCGAACGAAATATCAACACGTTACTGGCACTAGATGCAGCACAGATTTCGCAGAAGTACCGAGTGTGTTAATGGAATATTTTGCAAGTGATCCGAGGGTAAATATTCTAAATATTATTTATTATTTATTATGACTAACGAAACTATTATACAATTTTCCTGATACAACCTAATGTTTTAACTCACCTACGTAAGGTCGTATCCAAGTTTGCGAAGCATTTTCAAACTCAAGAACCGATGCCGGAAAATTTATTGTACAAATTATGCGCCTCGAAGAACATCTTTTATGCCTCCGAATTACAGAATCAAATATTCTACAGCATGTTGGATCAAGTATATCACAGTGGTAAACTAATGAAATCCACCACTGAGATTTTACAAGATGTACAGAAAGATTATTACGGTCTCCCATACGTCAAAAATACGGTATGTAGTTTGCCATTCATTTTCTGCCTTTGATTGTGGGGCACAGATTTTTTCCGCATTTATAAAAGAATAACTATAATAGAAGTACCAAGATTTGAATAGAAGATTATAGAAGAATAGAATTAACCTGTGATTTCCCGTTTTAATTATTAGAAATTTAAAAAACTTTCTAGTAATATAATTAATCTCGTCATTTTATTTCTAGGCATGGCAATTGAGATTCTCTCATTTGGTCGGATACGGAGCAAAGTATTATTCTTATCTAATATCCCGTGCAATTGCCGCATGGATTTGGCAAACGTATTTTCACGACGATCCTTTCTGTCGATCAGCTGGCAATCGTTATCGAAGGGAATGCTTGGCGCATGGAGGCGGTAAACCGGCATCACTGTTAGTGTCGGATTTCTTAAACAAGGAAGCCAACGCCGTCACGTTTGCAAAATCATTAATTAACGAAGTTGATATGAAAAATTTACGTGTGGAAACGATAAAATAATTCAATGTAAATTTTCCTTGTACAGATATGTGGCACGTATATAATGTTTCAAGTATTATAGCTGTGTGTAACAAATCTGGAATTCCTCGCAGTATATATATAGATACAATATATTCTTATAAGAAAAAAGGATAATTATTGCAGTGTGTAGATTATTTCGGAAAAGTTACATATAGAGAATACTCTATTTCTATTTTCTAATAGCAGATTCTTCTACTATTGTGGAGGTTTATTTCATCTCATAGCAATATCATTGTTGCGACTTTTTAAATTCCATTGTTACAATTAACGTAATTTTGATCGTTTACATACTTTTAGTTTTGAAAACTTGGGCAATATATCCTTTTAGTGAGCAAAAAATTGGAAACGGAAATGGAACATTCTGTATAAATCCCTTATTGCAAAATGACAAGTAATTATGTCGACGTTACTATAATCACAAAATAGCGTTAAATGTTTTCTTTTTGCTTATATTTTTTTTTATTATAAGTACAGAACCCCTTAACTCTCTATGTACAATTTCGATAGACCTACGAGTTATTACAAAAAGAATAAGTTTTGTAGTTTCATACATCATGTATAATTGAAACGCAGTACAAGGTAATTTATGTGTCGAGACCAGGGTTGCGCGCCATGTGATCGAGTTAGAGATGAAGCGAGCGATCGCGGGAAGGAAGAAGTAAGGAAAACAACTCAGAGTGCAGCATTTTTGGCCATTGTATCATGTGGGTATTTCTGAAAATTTCCTACCTCTTTGCAACAAGTTTTACAATGTGATAATTGCATAGAGCAAAATAGAAAACTGTATTCACGATCAACATTATGTGAGAAGATATTCAAGTTTATATACTCTACCTTCACTTCCTGAGGTTATTCCTAAATTTGTACATGGCAACGTGAAGCTACAATCTTCTCTTGTTAGGAGGAGCGTAAGTGACGTATGTACCAAAATGCTGTTTTGCTGGCAGTACTATCTTCTCTCAATTTAAACAAACCTATATATACTCTCTCAGTATGCATTCACATTGCATAACTGCATTTGCATTATCGTTACATAAAATTTTGTTAAACCTCTCGGCGGATACTGAATACCATCGACGAAATAAGCTCAACATTTCTGTCTGTAAACGTTTGCATTCATAAAAGTGTATTATTTGTTAATCTACTTTATAAATACATGGACACGAAAATATTTAACAAGCCATGATCCATGAATGATCATTTTTCGGCAATGTGATGTGTTTATACCGCTTTTTAATAGCATCGCGGTTCACATATGTCATGTAGTTGCCTACTTATTGACATCTTATTTGTTTTATTTATTATTCTGCCGTTGTATAGTTTAGTTTAGAACTTTAATTCAAGAAGAAACTGGACACTTGTTTTGTATATTTTGTCTAACATGGAGATTCAGTACGTTTCAAGTTGTATTATTGTTATCTATAGTTGGAAAGAATATTCTCAATGTTAAAAATGTTTTTAAAAACACGAAGATAAGTGAAGAGGTACAAATAACTTGCAGATTTCAAAGATAAGTACCACGATAGCATATGTATATGTAAATGTATATACACATACATATATATATACATATACATACATAATATTTTGTTTTATTTTCGTTATAAATACTGCACTGTGTGGTTCACTTTTTGAATTAACTAATTATATTTGCAATTGCACTCTTACTCTCTAGTTTCACGATAGTGTTGCAGTATGTATACATTTTGCTTTCTTTATTACATCTTCTTAATTGTAAGTATGCTGTGAAAAACTGTGTTGCATAAAAAATTGTTATATTCTAGGACGTTATATCAAGCTTATTACCAAGCCCACGGTTCTGTCCTTTTCGTTTATCTTATTTTGCAAAAATTCAGAAACAACACAACACTGGTTAAAGGAGAATTGCAATCATTCAATGTCTCTTACGCACTAAAAAACCAAAACGGAGACGTTCACTGAACTGAATCTCATTCCTTTTTTTCCCCTTTGTACGAACTGACCACACGCGTTATAACTCAACAATCGGATCGATTATACATATAATCTCTCGTTTGAACTTGTTCACATTCACGATACAAACACCAATGACGATAGATTCAATTTGCTAGAAAAATTAGCGTCGATTTTACAAGTCAGTATAACTTTGGCATTTGCTTTAGGTTACGCAACGTAATTGTATTGATTTGCATTATCCTTGTCCCGCTCCATGTAATCTCTATCAATGAGAGACTCGATCCGTTTTTTCAAATCTGCAGGCTGAAACGAAATGTGTATGTGAAAATGTCGCCTATTCATTAGCGTTCACATTTGCTCGACTCTATGAATATCTCATTGTCATACTTAATCATACTTTAGGAAAGTGTCTTCTGCCACAACGTGATGAAAAGATTTCAAAATCTAAAAAATATACATACCTTTACAGGAAACTTCAATTGATTATACAGCTCACTGATGAGAAGATTGTGGGTCAGAGTTTTTCTCATTTTCATTATTCTGACGATAGCAGCGTCAATCTGATATTGTCTGTCTTGATATACTCTCTCTTCTGTTGCTTTTTGTTCTTCATTCTGAAACAATTTCATACATCTACAACCCTAAGAATAAACTCACCAATCAAGTTTACTTGATGAAAATAACTTTTTATATATATGCAAATGTGTAAAATGAGTTGTATTATCAAGTATCAAGTACCGTTTCTTTCATTTGGATTTGATTGATCTTAATCCTAAACAATTTGTTAGTAAATTCCGCGTTGAATACAAATCTGTCATTATCGGCGACGTCCCGACCGCGCGGATTCTTCTGAAGAACACGTGCCTTTCCGCACGCCAAAGACTGCAGCGTTCTTCTCAGTTCACCGTCCTCGATATTTGTAGCGGCCTTGATATCTTCCAATGAGAGATTATCACTGTCGTTGAATAGAATTAAGACCAGCGCTTGAAACAGCGATACCTGCAGCTCTTTATTGCCCTGTTTTCATAAGTAGAAATTATACAGTGCATTAATGAACCACTTGTATATCAAGTTGTAGAAATAGTATCGTCTTGTTTAATACCTGGTTGAACCATGCTTTCAATACACAATGCCCCAAGGTGGGTTGCCACTGCAATTTTCTACCACTATGTTTACCCAAATAAAACTTATTAAACACATCTTGATACTGCACCATCTCCATCGGTAGGGTGACTTCCATCACTGGATATGTAGGCCAATACCCCATAGTAAGTATAGATACAGTTAGGTCTAGATTGCTTGCCACTAACTCGCTTTGCAAGTTTCCTGCATACTGAAGAGTTAACAAATACTAATAACTACACAGTTAACAAATGACAAATGTAAATTATGTTTCTACATAAAGTCGATATTTATCCTACACATTTACTACTAAAACTATGGGAGATATTGAGAAATTAACTTTTCTTACCTGTTTGAACGCGATATTGATATCTTTACTAAGTTCCATATCTTTGAACATTCCTTCCAATTTACTAGTAAATCCACCGCCACATTCTTGTTTTAACTTGGACAGCATGGATTTTTCAGCATCTACGGAAGCCGATTTTCCCACTAACAAACGTTTGGCCAAGTCCTTCTTATAAAACGCTTCGAAAACATCCTTTCCGTGAATAAACCGAAATAGTACCATAATCTTATCTAGTAATCTCTCCAATTCCTCTTCCGTCGCTTCTTTGTTACCTGCGCGTAACTTGCAATCGACAAATTTAGCTGAAATCACAAACGCATGGTTTACAACCCCATTTCGCACTTTTAGAAATCAATATTTTTGGGCCAACAGTCGAAAGCATGACCGCGACAACTTGGTAAATAACTACTTGCCTATTAATTCCGCTGGCTTGTTTGCCCTTTGATTAATAAAAGCCTCGAAAGCTTCTTTTAAGCTATTTGCGAACTTTTCATTTTTATGAAAGCACGTGTTAACTATATTATCCATTTTATCTTTGAAATCTAAAAGTTCCTGCACCATCGTCTTATCTTTCTCGGGATCTATAACTATCGTCTTGCCTTTTTTCTAAAAAGACATAATACAGGTAAGATATACGTGACTTTGCTCATCATTCATATTATACGCAGAAAAGGTCAATTGTTAATGTAACGTTTGTACCTTGATGTAACAATTGAAATTCAAACAAAGCTCCACAAGGCCATTTTTTATCCGACTGTACAAGTTGTAAAGTAATGATAAATCGCTAATCCTATTTTCATCCAACAAACCACTTAAGCCTTTCTGTAAAATACTAGTAATATGTTCAGACAGTAATTGTTTTTCTACAGTATGTATGAGCGACCATCTGAAAAGAATTAATTTCATGAAATTGTACATAACAATTATCGATGCCGTATAGAGCAATAATGAAACTCACTTAGTCGACGTATCGAGATAATGCAACAGCCGTTCGTTCTCCTCTTGCAAACGCTTATCCACATGAGCCAAGTACTCGGGAACATCGTGCTCGTTCATCAATCGTAGACCTTCGGCAGCATACAATCTTTCTGTAGCCACTAGGAACCTAAATCAAACCGAAAAGTGAATTATCACTGACAGATTGTTAATGTACAACAAAATAAGACATACTTTGTTTCGAAGGCCTCTTGGTAGATTTGTAGATCCGACAACATTCTTAACAGCGATTTTAGAAGCGTTCGATCTACAGTGTCGCCTTGACGTTCCTTTTCTATGAGCATAAGAAGACCCTCGACCGTGCGAGTTTGCACTAAACTGTTGAGCACAATGTGCAGTCTAAATAGATGCAATCCCATATCCCTGGAAGAAGAAATGGAGTAGTGTACAATAATTGCGAGATTCATTCCCAGCGAGGATTCGTTATTATTACCATATCGACGAGATGCTCGGGTTTTGCAGAACATATGTCCTGTCGAGATAGAGAAAGATGCTCCTGATCATAATCATTTGTCTGCAATGCGATTGCCAGCATTCGTTCATCTTCTTCAAAAATATATGTCTGTCCATGGATTCTGCCAGAAACTGTTCAATGTTAGCCTTCACGTGAGATTCTGTCAGAATGGTTAAATTGGAGTAAAGCGTCGATGCCATTTTGTGATTACACATATTTTCGACCGCCTGATAAAGCTCTTCGAGAGAGTAGCGGATGCTCTTGCTGGTTTGTATGGCAACTACGGCCTCCTGCAACTTTTCCCATGTCTGCTCTTGATAGTTTTCCGGTAGTTTGGGTTTATCTGCAAGAAAAGCGTGACTGCATCAGAAAACTGTTAACAACACAGCGGAATGTCGTGCATTTCCAGTATTTTTCTTCAAGCGGCTTCCTTGGAAGACGACGTTTACTTAATAACGTACGAGCCATGTAAAGGCGAGAAAGAGAAAATGTCATTATAACGTTGTCGAGGCAGGCCGATCTGTCGAATTTTCTTCAATTACAACGAATTAGGTTATGTCCCTTGTGTTAAGCGCAAGGTGAGAAACCCTTTGGGACGGGTAGCGTCCAAGGATTGGAAATCGCAGCCGAGACGAAAGAAAGAGAAAGGAAAGAGAGGAAAGAAAGATAGGGGTAGAGGGACACGAAACAGTCCTCCCGGTCGGCAGAGCAGCTGATGTTTGAGGTTAGGTCAGGATCGCTGTGTCCTACCGCTTACTTTTGAAGTTCTTGATGACGAGCTTCTTCGCGGAGCCGGGTTTTGCGTTCGCAAGGCTCGGCGAGATTTTGTTGACGCCGTTCGGATTGCCGACTGTCAACGCCGAAAAGTTGGCTCTCTTTTGCGTGTCAGTCGCGGCGGCGGCAACGGCCGCAGCTGTGGCGGCCGCCGTGTCCGTCATGATTATCTCGTTACCCCTAATCGCGTCGATCTCCTTCGGATGCGCGATGCTCGCAGCCGCGGCCAGCTTGCAGCACTCGGCTGCGCTCGCGTACTTAAACACCACCGGCGGCGGCGGCGGCGGCGACAGCGGTAGCGACAGTGGCGGTGGTGGTGGTGGTAACGGTGGTGGCGGCGTTGAGGGCCGTCTTCTTCACCTGTTTAGCACACGGAGCCTAGATATCACAATTGGACATATGCATCACTCGGCCGTCGGCTGCCTTGGTGCAACGCGGAGGAACGCGTCTTGCTTTCCTTTGCGCTCCAAACGGTGCAACTCGATTAAACGCATCACACGCGAGGATGTCTCCTTTTGTCCCCCCTTTTCTGTCCTCTCTCGTGCTCCGTGCTCCGTTTCGCCACTACTCCGCGGACGTTTATACATACATTGGAAAAGAAGCTTTGCCGACAGCGCCTGCATGTGACAGCGCCATAGAAATAAGAAATAACTAAAAGCGACGCGCAAGCCGATACTCATATGCGGGCTCTACAATGCGAGTCTTAGGCCCGGTCTACAATGAGTCGTTAGTCAGAAGTCGCAACTATATGTTGATCCTTTTCCTTTCTGGGTGGAAGAAAAAGGACCGACATATAGTTCCGACTTCTGACTAACGACTAACAACTCATTGTAGACCGGGCCTTAAGCCTCGTCTACATAGAAGTCGCAGAGAGTCGTAGTCGTAAGAATAATCGACTGCGATTGGTCAATTTCGTCAGACACATAAGAATTGACCACGGTCTTATATCCGTATTCATAGTCGTTCCTCAATTCTCAAGGTTAGTCTGTCTTTGTCTCGCTACTACGTTTTACCATACGCGAGACAAACTACCCTTGAGAATTGAGGAACGACTATGAATACGGATATTACATACAGGTCTGGAAACTCGAGTAGTGGGGGTAGTGCTCAGTTTTAAGCCAAAATTAGTTCGCCCTGTGTGTCGCTGCTATCGGTCAGTGCAAAACTCTAACC